TTGTTTAGGTTTGTTTTGAAGCTCTGTATTTAAAATACTTATCTGATAGGAATTTACAGATTTATATTACTGCTTTAAGAGTTCTGTCGTAGCATAATTGCTCTGTTTCCCTTATTTTATTTTGTGCAATATATCACATATATTACACTTTCTTACTGTGTTACCCTAAGTGTTATGGCTAGCTGCATGAACCTAGGTGGTCAAGTGCTTCTACTGTTGAGAACTACAGAAATGTCTGCAGATGCATTTAAACCATTGTGGAAATAACAAGGAGAAAAAAAAATATATTAAAATAACATGCTTGATAATAGTCAACTAATTATATATTTTAAACATCTGGGGTCATAAAGGTTTCCATTGTCTAGAAAGTGCATTTGGTCATTTTAGAGCATACAGTCAGCTAGCTATAAATGTTCTTTTAGCCCCCAAATAGTATATTGGACCTTATAGACTGCTTAATTTATAATGCCTATCTTAAAAAAAAAAAAAAAAAAAAAAAAGGCACGGTGGGGGGAACAACATGCTGTTCTAATATTGCCTGTTTGTTCTTCATTCTCCTGTCAGTGTTGTTATTTTGAGATAACTGGAATTAAAATGTTCTCTTTAAAAGAAAGCTACTTCTGATGTTGCTCCTATTGCTATATGGTTACCAAGTTCAATGGTTTTCTGTAGTGCTTCAGTTAATCTCACAAATGACTGCCTCAGCTTGCTTTCTCAGCAATGAGAATCAGCTGCTTTAACTAGATGTGTGTGGGCATTTCTTTTGCATCTTGTCCTGGTTTCAGCTGGGATAGAGTTAATTTTCTTTCTAGTAGCTGGTATGGTGTTGTGTTTTGGGTTCAGTATGAGAAGAATGTTGATAACACACTGATGTTTTCAGTTGTTGCTAAGTAGTGTTTATACTAAGTCAAGGGTTTTTCAGCTTCTCATGCCCAGCCCGCAAGAAGGCTGGAGAGGTACAAGAAGTTGGGAGGGGACACAGCTGGGGCAGCTGACCCAAACTGGCCAAAGGGATATTCCATACCATGTGATGTCATGCCCAGTATATAAACTGGGGGGAGTTGGCAGGGGGGAGGCCTAGATTGCTGCTTGGGAACTAACTGGGCATTGGTCAGCGAGTGGTGAGCAATTGCATTGTGCATCACTTGTTTTGTATATTCTAATTCTTTTATTATTATTATTGTCATTTTATTATTATTATCATTATTAGTTTCTTCCTTTCTGTCCTATTAAACTGTTCTTATCTCAACCCACGAGTTTTACTTTTTTTTTTCCAATTCTCTCCCCCATCCCACTGGGTGGGGGGGAGTGAGGGAGTGAGTGGCTGCGTGGTGTTAGTTACCGGCTGGAGTTAAACCACGACACATCTCCAAAAAGTAGTTTAGAAATAAAATTCCTGTTGCTTGACTAAAGAAGTTGATGGGGTTTATGTACATGCATGTGTGGCTGATGTTGGCAGTTGCACAGCTAAATCTTGGAGCAAGGTCCATGATGAATCCGAGCTGCATGTACAGAGTGCTGTGCTGCAGGGGCTTGCTTTGCTACTTTTAACTAGCTCTTCTTCCAGTGCCCTCTAATTAGCTGCAGGTTTTTTTGTTGATTGGTTGGGTTTTTTTTTTCAACAGAGACTTATAAATTAATCAGGAGCTCTGTAGAAAGGGATAAATATTTAATAGTCTGGCCTTTATTAGCTTCCAACAAGCAGTGGTACCTTGCCATGCTTGTTCAGTTTACATTACGTTTGCTGATTTGGAAGAATTCTTGTTGACTGGATTCCCCAACAAGAAGGGAAAACATGAAGCTAAGAACACTTTTCCATACTTGTGAGCTTTTAAAAAATAACTTTTAGTATTTCATCGTTATGACTAAACTAAGAACGGTGTATTTTTATGATGCCTAAAATTGCTGCAGATCTGGCTTACAACAGAAGCTCCACACATCTGAACTTGCACACGTTTTAAGGGGATATATTGCGGAGGAGGCACTCTGTACTGACAACTATTTCCATAGGTGGAATGAAACGCAGGCAAAATCCGGTTAATTCACTGGGCTTCAGCCCCTGAGTGGAGAAAACAGCTTTTCTGACCAGCACCGGAGTTCAGTCATGGGTTGCTCTGAGATTTTCAGTCAGCTGTTTGTCTTCATGATCTTAATATTTGTATGCTAAGAAGTGGATTAAAAATGACCAAATTGAACACCAGTCAGTTGAATAGACCTTGGCTGCGGTTTGAACTGATCCCAATCCAGAGAAGCCCAACACTTGTTCTGAGAGAAGGTAGTGTGTATCTGCACAGTGCTTCAAAGAGAGAAACCAAAAATTGTGGTGATTTAGGATGGTAAGACGTGGACCCAGTGGAAAGTGTAGGTGTGTGTTGTGGAAAGAGAAATTAGCACATGGTGGTCAGGGTAAAAGAAGCAGCTTTAGTATTAAGAAGATTCTGAGTTAGAGGATGAAATGAAGAGTAATATGGGTTGTCTTGGTGACCGTGTAACCTGCTGTCTGTATAGTGGGTGGGTAGGTACAATTTGCTCCTGGATAAATCTATAATTTAAATTCTTTATTTTATCTTAGTACTCATATTACACAGCTCTTTTATATTTATAAACCTGGTTGGCTTTTGGAACTTCTGGCACGTTTTGAAAAACTGTCTGCAGTCATTTATGATAGCATTTTCTCCTTTACTCTTAGGCAGTTTCTTTTACATCCACCCTCGTGCTGAGGGATATTGAATATCTGTAAGTGTTTCTTTTTCATGGCATTTTGATCCAATAGCTGCCTGGGACATTGAGTGAGGTTCTTGTTTGGTAAATTACTGCTGACATGGGTTTCTGAGAGTTGCTTGCAAATGAGACTTTTAAACTAAGTCCTTTTTTGCTGTTTGGCAACACAGCACGTGCTTCTGCTTGAAAGTGAGGGGTAGCAATTTCCGTTATGATTTCAACTGAAATTTTAACAGTTCTTCCTCCAGGTGCACTTGGCCCTTGATACTTCAATGAATATTTTTTCCAAGGCACCATTTTTCTTGTAATTAGATGTAATTGAGAAAATAGAAACTCTTCTATTTTGTGATACTTAGTGTTTCAATGGGGGGGGGAAGAATGCAGAAGTGGTGGGGTTTCGTGGATAGTTTCTTTCTCTGCAGAAAACTGTTACTAAGCAGCTGAGAACTATTGTCTGGTGCAGTTAATGGTCTTATCAGATACTTCCAACAGGAGATGCTTATTCATTCTGCGGTGCTTGAAGGCCTAGCCTACACTAACAAACTGACCTGTTACCAACCTGCGTAGGTGCTGAAACTCTCTTGTGGGTGATGCCGATGAGTCAAAGCCATTTTAGTGCTGCTGTGGAGGATAAGATCTATTTCTTCCTAGCTTTGCAGCCTGTGAAAGCGCTGATGGTGCTGGTGGGACTCTCTGGTGCTTTGGGGGATCCCTAGGAGGGGAGGCCTTTTCCCTGTGGTGGGTTTGGGTTCCGTGAGACCTGCGGGAACAGATCGATACACTGACCAGAAGGTGGGAGGCTTTGGGTGGTGGTGCTGACATGCAAGTCAAGGTAGCTTTTTCAGTCATTTATATTTGCACTAAAATGGTAGACTCTCATGTACCCTTTTTTCCTCCTCCAGTTTCATGTTTCCTGTTGCTGGTGGTTTGGGCCCCCCTCAAGGTATGTATAAAATTAACATTTTTAAGTTCTTTACTTTGTTTAGATACATTAAACAAAATAGTTCTGCACTGATGCTTAGAAGCATGATTATGAATTGAAGTCCGTGGTTGGTTTTCCCCTTTAATGCAATACTGGTAAGCTGGCTCTCACAACTATATTTATAAAACTTCCTATGCAATGTCAAAGAAGCAGTGTTACCAGAATGCTAGATTAAAGATCTAGGAAAACTGTATCTCCATTTTTAACCTGAATTTGCCTTTAAGATTTTTGTGTTATTTTGAGTGTGGTATTTAACCTCTTTATGCTTCATCTACCAGCTGTGCATACCCATATTGTGTGGGTGTTGCAAGACCTGGTAAATATTTACAAAGCACAGCAAGACCCTGGGACAAGAGTCACAACCTGTGTGGAAAGTATTAATACAATAGGAGAGCCTCAGCCTTAAATTACCTTTCTTCTCATTCCTGTTGCAGTGTTGTTTAATTAATGGAAAATACAGAGAGAACTTGTAGGGGAATTGGAGAGTTTTCTCATAAAAACTCTCAGGGACTGACTTATGAATTATTCCTGAGAGTGTTGCGTCCCTCCTGGAGTGTTTTTGTGTGTGATGTTCAGTTATGCACAGTTACAATTATCTCGTGGTGTGCTGGTAACAAATGTATTAGTGTGTGTCTCCCAAGATAGCAATATATGAGACATGAAAATACTGGAACAGAATCCACTTGCCTTTATTAAGTGAATTAATACATTCCAACTTGATTTGTCCGATTTTATTGAAGTTTAGCTTTTACTGACAAATATTGTAACCATTCTAATATATGTAGTGGGCTGATTAACCTACAGACAAGTTATCCAGCTAGATCAGAGTATGAATTTATGTTGTGAAAATAATGAGTTTATTTCCCAAGACTGATCTTCAAAAGCTGCCAGTTTGTAAGTTTTCCCTTTCAAGAGAAATGGACGGTTATCAGCACCAGTCAATCTGGTACATCAAATCTCGTTAATTGTAGATGACCCTTTCAAAAAATCATATGGGAAGAAACCCACAGGGAATCCTTTGGATGGTGGGAGGATTCATCAGCTTAGTTACTGGGAAAGCCCTGTAAGGTTTCTTCCTTTAGACTGACCAATATCTAAACTAAGGAAATTCTGTGGCTGCCTGCAGCGTAACATTTTTTTTTTATTTTTTAAACAGTCCAGCAAGATTGAGAGTTTTTTTCCTTTGCTTTGCTGGTTTAGTTTAAAAAAAAAAAAAGAAAAAAAGGAAAAAAAAAAAAAGCTTTAACATTAACTGGAAGCTTACCTTGTTTAATGTTTAATTTTAGGGATGATCCCTATGCAACAGCAAGGATTTCCAATGGTTCCTGTCATGCAGTCCAATATGCCAGGCATGATGGGAATGAATTATGGTTCTCAGATGCCCCCTGGACCCATGACCATGCAGGTGCGTGGCAATGAAATGTGGACTGAAATGAGATGCCTTGGTGCTTGTCTGAAAGGTGATAGCTGATGCCATAGTCCTCTCACAATTGCTGTGGGGTAAGAGGGTGGAATTTGGCTAGAAACTGAAGTGTTGGTATTAGTCCGTAGTGGGACATCGTGTTTTGTAGTATTCTCTTTGAAGATATTTCTGATAATTTAAAGAATTCTCCAAGTTTTGTTGGGATCTGGATAGAGAGAGTGGGTGAGCTTGGCATACATTACTCACTGTTGTAGAGTAGAGAGAAATGAGGGTGTAGTGCAAGGACAGCCTCAGTACTATTTAAAGTAACTTGGACGTTATAGCCCACTCAAAGATGTCAGAATCTGAACTTCCATTTCATTATATGTGTTATGACACCAAAGTGTGATAAGAGTGGTCTCTGAACAGGAAAGGAAACAAAAGCACCAGCGAGGTGTTGAAAAGCTACCAGATGCCACCTACTCCAAAGTGTTGTTAGTAATAGTATTGAATTGTTAATTAACTATAATTCAAAACTCCCACAGCATACTTCTTCTGTCTTTTTAATTTTGCTTTGTGCTTTTTCTTCTTTTGCTTTGGTTTAATGTACTTACTGCTAAGGTGGCCGTATTGTGTAGTATTTTAAATGAGACCTTTATAAGCTGGTAAGTGACTGTGTACACAGTCTGATTGATGATGACCAATTCACTGAATTGTTATATCCCTTTGTAACTCAAATGCTGGAGTTAATAGAATTAAGTTTCCTTAGTGTAGGTGGCAATTCATAAACTTTCTTTTTAAACACCTTGTTCTAGGGAGCGAGGAATCTCTTATGTGCTGTATTTTCTCACGTGACCGGTTTTTCCATTTGTCCTACTTCCTGTGTTTCATTTCTTGCTAAAGTAACATTGTCTTTAACTCTGCTGTTGCTAATTGAGGAATAAAAATGAAATATGAGCAGCTAATATTATGTTTTCTTTCTTTTAATCTTTTGTTTTCTATTTAGCACCATATGTGCTTAGGTACAAATTTGCACTTTGCTGAAATTTAATGTTTTGGCATGGCTTCATAGCCAAATTGCTATGTGACAAATTGAATTTATTGTATCTTGCCATCTCCTTGCAATCCCTTCCCTTCCCACCCGGAATTTATTAGATTAATTTTGTAAAATTTATAGTAGGAAGATGTTTTTATGAGAGCTGGTCTAAAAATAATAAACAACTTTTGTTCTCTTCCTACGTGTTCTGATACCAAATACAAAATGAATGGTAAGAAAAGTAAATTATTTTCTGGCCCCTTCTATATTAGGCAAGCTTTGCTCTATAACTGTACCAGAATATATTTATCAGCAAATGTTTCTGATACAGATGCAGTTTATTCAGATAAGTCTCCTCTAGGCTGTTGTCATATACTGTCTCCCTCCATTGACTCCTGGATAAGCTATGTTTGCAAAATGACTAGACCACATTTTGCCAGCATCCGTTGTTGGTTAGGAGTGTGCACGTCCAGCAGGGAATTTAAAATTATTATGCAATCACATAGAATACGTAGAAACAAAAAACCCAAGAAAACCCAAAAGCATGGTACTGAACCATATGTAAGCACTGTAGGATGCCTGTAACATTCCTGCTCTTGAGGTAGGTTGTATGGACTTGAAGTCCTGATTTTTGCATTTGACCAGAAGACCATCCTGTCTTGTAAAATCCTTTAAGAATTGTAACTCATTATTGAGAGGGAAGAGTGCCATCTACTGAATGACCAGTGCTTTGTTCTGTAGCAGCTCACCTGTGCTCAAACACTGATCATCCAACTGTTCTTAACGCTCTTCATTTTATGAGATCTACCTAGTTTGCAATTTGGCAAGGTGTAATTGCCAGTGGTTTAGCTTTTTCTATAGACAAAAAAGAATCTTGGAGTTGTATTATTTATTTTGTTCTAGGGTGGCATGCCCTTAGGGCCGATGCCAGCGACTGGAATGCCTTACATGGGACAGGCTTCTTTCTTGGGAATGCGTCCAGCAGCTCCGCAGTACACCCCTGACATGCAGAAGCAGTTTGCAGAGGAACAACAGTAAGTGACACTTTACTGACTCTTGGGAAATTCTTTTTTAAGGGGGAGATGTAGTCTGGAAGGGCGGTAAAAATATTGATAGTTTCTCTAGAAAAGTAGTCCATTTAGGGCTGTAGAATATTGTTGAGATCATTCCATTGCATTTGAAGGCCATCTATGAAGTTAGTTGTGGCTGTCATACAGCTCTGAGAAGAGACAAAAATGTGTGCGCCAAGCCATCTTGAATTTGAGATAGAAGAAATGGAAAAATTAAGCAGAAGCTTGCCATGGAAATTGTAATGAAAAATTATTTTTAGATTTTTTTAAAATAATTTTTCTTCAGGAAGAGGTTTGAGCACCAGCAGAAATTCTTAGAAGAAGAAAGAAAACGGCGCCAGTTTGAAGAGCAGAAACAAAAGCTAAGACTCCTAAGTAGTGTGAAACCTAAGGTATGTCCTAAATAGTAAGTGGGGTGTTTCTTTCTTCAGGTTTTTTTTAGTGGCTTTTAATGGGATGGTCTCTTTCAACAAGCAATTAAGTGGGGAACTTATATGAGACATCAGATTACATCTTGAAAAGTGCCTGGAATAGTCAGTCCTTTACATGCTGGAGAAAGAAGGGTTTAATCTAACAGCAGGCATTGCTAAGTTTTGTACTGAAGAAATGTGGATGTTGAAAGAAAACTGAGCTGTTCTGTGAATTTTTCAAAATGTGTTCTGTGGTGTTTCAGACAGGTGAAAAAAGCAGGGATGATGCTTTGGAAGCCATTAAAGGAAATTTAGATGGTTTTTCTAGAGATGCTAAAATGCACCCAACACCAGCATCACATCCAAAAAAGCCAGGTTTGTCATTTTTCTACTCTTCCAACTGAAAATAAAACTCTAATGTTTGAAACCCTCAGCAGGGGGCACTAATTTCAAGAAGTATTTTTATTTGGCGGTACAAAGGGAGTGGATTAACTGTTTTGTAAAATAGTGTCATTCTAGCAACTGTTTGCTTGGTCAGGTTATGAGGGTGAAATATTAGATATCAGCTTTTATTAGAAGACTTGAAATCTTTAAAAGAAAGCTTAACGTGCTGTGCTTAATGTGAAATATCATGGAAGTTGATAATGCGTTTGTTCTTTTCTAGTCAAAGCATTAATTAATGTTTTGCAGAGTTTTTTTGAAGCCGAGAAGTGCTGTACAAGTGCTAAGAATGATCAAAACCTTGTATAATGACTTCAGTGTACTGTAACAGCTTACTTGTGTACTGTTGCCTGGGCACGGTCAAACCGAAGCCTTCTGTATTCTCTTCTCAGTAATTACTACATTTGTAACAATTACTGCTAAAGATTTCCTGTGAGTTGTAGTATAGTTTGTTCTGTGTCTAGCCTGAAACAAAGTTTATCTAGACAGGCTTTTACCTATATAGGTCTTTATCTCTACTGTGGATTTGCTCTTTGATAATTTTGAAGTTACAGGTGGTTTCTGACAATTTTCCATTGTCTGTAGATTTGCCCATCCTATGTCAGTTTTGTTAAAATCGGTAACTATGGAAGGGATCAAGCAGAAAATTGCCTAAATGAGAGATACTTATTTTGTATCCTATGGTATATCATTGAGTTTCTAAGGATAAAACGTTCCTTTGAGGGAGAATGTCCCCCTGTGCAGACCCCCATTATGTCCAGCTTAAAATATTACCTCTTGATTTGTTTTGACCCAGTCTGTTTAAAACAAATAGAATACTTTCACAGCCAGTGTTAAGAACCAAGTTTCAAAGTGTTTACATGATAAAAATCTGGGAGAGAAGATGCATGGTTGGAAGTGGCTGCTCAGTTTTACCTTATATGTTTGTTATGCTGACAGTAGTAACTCTTCACATCTCTGTCAAATAATGCATCCGCTGCTGTTTCCCCTTGTCCATTTGCTATGTATACCTAGTATTTGCCACTTTACCTACCTTTCCACTCGTGAACCTTTTTCCTCATCACTTTGCATTGTGTGTTCATTCCATTTTACAGATCATCTCACATCATCCCATTCTGCTGTATCTGTTTCCCACTCTGCTTTTCTTGATGATGAAGAATTTAGTGACTTTATACAAGGGCCTGTTGAAATCCCCAAACTGGTGCCTCAACCCACCTCTCAGCCTTTTCAGCCTTTCCATTCTGCTACTGAGGCTGGGCAGCTGCTTTCAGAAAAGGCTGTGGTCCAACCTCTCCCTCCAGCCCAGACTCCAGTGTTATCCATCCTGCATGGTACAACTGGGCAGGTTCCTTATTTTCCTACCTCTGCATCTTCACCCAATATCCATAAAACAGGTAACTAAAGTATCTTTTTTTACATGTCATCTTCTGTCATAGGGCTGCACAGAGTCTTTACTTATTTTGTTGGGGTTTTTTTCAGTCTGGCTGAAAGAAGTAATATATAGGCAATTAAGTAGAAACCTGCTGATCCATGGGAAATGATTTAAGTCCCCTTCTTCCTTCCCTTAGAACTGCACTGTAAAAGCAAGTCATGTGTGGATCCAAAGATTGCTAAATATGCATATGGCTGATCTTAAGTGAATTAAGTCTTGTGTGCTAGCATCTTCATAAGTCTGTGTAGTAGAAAAAAATACAGTTGAGATGGTGGTATAAAAAAATAACCATTATGCTAATGTGGAACACTTGTGTGCTTCCTCTCTTGGAGGCTAAATGGATGTTGGTGAGATTAGTGTGAAGAATTTTGCAGATGTAAGTAGATATTGGACACCTGCTACTGATGCCTAGATGATTATGCAATGGTAATCCTAATACAGAAAATAGTTTCATGTGTTCCTTCTCCTACTTGTTGCTTTTTGTCTGTTGAATTTGTTATGTATGCATGGTAAGTAAAGGGCAGGGTCAGGCTATGAAAGTGTTTGAACAGGGTGGTGCTATTGGTCTGAGCGGGGACAGATAATCATCTTGATAACTCATCAGTGGTACCAATAATACTTTTCCTTTGAAAGTGTGGGATTGCAATCTGGGTGGTTAATAACAAAATATAAATAATTCCTCCTGCTGTTTATTCAGGCTCTTCCTTGGAGGAGAAAGTCTTAGATAATGGCTCAAATGAATCTGAACAAGAGCAAACCAAACTTAAAACATCCGAAGTTGGGCACAAAGCCTCAGCTGCAAGCCAAGTTCATCCCAGTCTAACCATCAGTGACTGGGATGTTGTAGGTGGACATGAAAGTGGTACCACTGCTGCAGAGGTGCACAAGGCTTCAGAACAAAACATAGCAGTTGAAGAGTGTGGTGAGCAAATGAAACATTTGACAGAATTTGAATCTAATTAGATGCTGCTTGAATGCTAACACTCTGTACACTAATTCTAAGGCCAATCCTGCATAATTTTGCTCTGAACGCCTGCTTGAATAATATGTTAGTGCCTCCTGCTCCTTGCTAAAAGTATAACTACTATGATTTTGCTCTGAACTTTTTCCATGTGAGTTTACTGCTGTAATCACTTTTAACATGTTTGTTTAATCAGGTTTGCTGTTTTAAAATATTCTGTCCTCTTTCTTAGGATAAAAAAAGATGTGCTTTCTAAAGATTTTTTTTTTTTTTTAATTACTTAAGGAAACTTATTACTGAAGATGGTCAATGTCATGATGGGTTTTCATCTTTTAACTTCGAGGGAATAAAGCCTTGTTAGGTTAAAAGTCTTAGCTAGTTAATACTTGTTTCCTAGACAATTTGCCACTCGTGCATTATGTCTAAAACTGTCTGTGCTTTAGGGGTCAAAATTTCAAAAGCTGGGCTAGATGAAAACTTTAAGCAAGGTTTAGTTCCAATTTAGATTTTATTAAAGCTGACTATTGACTGTTTGGGTTTGGTTTTTTCCAATCAAAATAGATGCAAGGTCTCTGGTGCACCTTGATTAGTGCTCTGATGTTGTACTCAAGCGTTACATGAAACATGGGCTGCACTGTAGTCAAGTATGATAAAAATACATGTAGTCCTTTGTGTAATCTCACTGTACTGGGGGGTGAGAGGAGACAGAGAAGGGGGAGAAAGCTCCTGGTCTGTAGATAATTGAATCGGGCACTTTCTCAAGCAGTTATTTCTTTCCTAGAAGTACCGTAACTTTTTATTAATTCTCCTCAGTCGTTGGATGTGTTGCTTTCAAGTATTTTCTTATCCAGTACATTTAAAAAACATTAACGGATGAAGTAGTCTGAATGGATATTTTTAATAAGTGGAGGGGCTTTGTAGTACACAGTAAATTGCTAAAAGTGGCTTAACTTTAAAGAATATACAGCATGAAATAGGAGCTGTTCATTTATTCATTGTTCAGTCAATTGCATTGTTCATTTTGTAGAAATTCAATGCGATCTGACGCCTGATTTTAAAAAAAAAGGAAGGGGGGGGGCGCGGAGGGAGGCAGGAAACTACCCTCGTTTAAGAATGTGAGACAGAGCGAGTTTAAATACAGCCTGCAGGTGAAGGTGGTGGTGGAAGTGATTATGTAGAGCAACAATAGTTAAGAATAGTTCCAAATATTTTTAAGGGTGCTTTGAAGGATGAGCTGAAGTACTTCGTGAGGAATAGAAGTTTAGTAGTTAAGTGACAATGCTGGAAAATGGCAGACCCTTAGTCACCTGGGTATTAACAAAGTTTTGAGTAAGACTCTCCCATCTACCAACTAAATATGGCTGAGAATTCCTTTTCACTCCTCACATTATTTGATTTTTAAGGTGCTGAATTTTATCAGAGATTCAAGGGTGAGACGCAAGAATTGGTAGGATGGAAGGGTGGGTAAAGCTGAAGAATAATGAGACTGGAGGAAGTAGCAAATTTATTTTACTTGGCTGGTGAAATGGAAGGAAATGCTTATATTAAAATGTGCTTGGAGTTGTGAGATGATTTGAAATAAGATTGCAGTCAGGAGAGAATCCATGTGGAAGATGAGGAGACGCAAGGGCACTGGGAAAGACAATGAAATCTGAAATGATTCTGATTTTTGTCAGAGCTCCATTCAAGGTGAGCGTAAAATCTGCTCAGGGAGACTAGATAGGAAGTAAAACTGCGAGACTGAGGGGAAGAGTCCACACAGTGGAGAAGGAAATAACAAATTCACAGGGAGTAAAGTGTGGCAGATGACATTATAAAAGCCTGTAGTAGTGAAGGCGGCTGTGATGTCTTCTGCATCTGAAGAGTATGATCAATGGGGCAATAGATACATTTTTGTGAACATGGGATAAGATCTTGCTGCGATTCAGTCTAATAAGCTGTTTGTGGATTTCCCTGATAAGGATGTTCTGGTGGAACATTGTGGTTCTTATGGTAGGTATGAATTTATTTATTCCACAAGTAGCCCTAATAGCATATAGTTGATGGGAAGACTAAATTTGATATGGCAGAGAACTGCTGCTATCAGATTTTAAGAGACAATGAGACTTGAGCTTCTGTGCAACTAGAAATTAAGAGGGAGGCAAATGAGGAGCTCCTTATTTCATTATGTATATAACTGTATTCTTGCTGTTACTGTCAAATCATTCTAGTTATGTTGAAATACATATTCCTGCAGTAGCTGTTTTTCCTCTGAGCACAGTGATTCCTATCTGAAATCTTTGCCTGAAATGCTAAATGATACTGACCAGCTATGATCTAGTCTCTAAGATCTTTATACTCTGAATCTGTATATCCTAATACAGCTGTCTGTCTTTTTCTTACTGAATGGAATACATTTAGGAGTTGGAGTATTCCCTTCACAGGACCCAATTCAGCAAATGATGCCTCCTTGGATTTACAACGATAGCTTGGTCCCAGGTAAACAAGAAAGTGGGCCTTTAGCCAAGAGGGCAGTGTAAGGTGTGAATGTACGTGTGTTTACGTTGCCATTTATTGATCAAAGCATTATTCTTCAGTTATCAGATAAATCCTGTATCTTTGATACATTACATATTTATGGTGGCTTTATCTGCATTTGAAGAACTATGGGTTTTATTCAAGCATGTTAAATGTTTAATCTAGAATTTATCACGACAGCAGATTATGCTGATAGAGGTTGCGTTGCTGATAATACCACTTTCATTGGTAGTCTGGTTTTTGGCATGTCTTGTAATTAAGCAAGCTAATTTCTTAAGGCTATTTGTTATATATGCAAATAACACAGTAAATAGAAAATGAAATGCTGTAGTAAATATTGATTACACTGAGGTTTAAATACATAAAGCTGTTGTATGTAACTATCTTTTTGTATGGATTATCCTGCAATTTCATTGAAGAAACATGTTTTGAAATGGAGCACTAAGTGTATTTTATATAAAATAATTCTTTGCTTGTGTTAAACTTGTCTGTAAAGACCATCCAATAATGCATTTAGATGAAACATGACGATACAATACAATGCTGGAATGCTGTTGCCCTACCTTACACTTTGTTACTAATTTGATATAATGTTGAGTTTGAGACTAAGTAGAGAAGCAATCTTAAATGTACTTGAAAACAGCAGTTGTCACTGTCTAATACTGACTCCCTCTTAACAGAATTGTATAAGAAAATTTTAGAAACCACTTTGACTCCTACTGGAATAGATACAGCTAAGCTCTATCCCATACTGATGTCATCTGGATTGCCCAGAGAGACCCTTGGACAGATATGGGCTTTAGCCAACCGTACTACCCCTGGGAAACTCACAAAAGAAGAGCTCTACGCTGTCCTGGCTATGATAGCAGTAACTCAGGTATGACTAACACTTTGGAGATTAGTGCAAAAAGGCAGTTCACTTAACTAATCTGCTATAGGTTGCATGTTAGCACAAGTGACTGGTATACCGCACCTGTAGTAAAGTACTACTTCTGTTGAAGTCTAGAGGAGAAACTCCCTCTGTAACTTCAGTGGGATTATAATTTCATCCCCTGCGTTTACATTTCAGTTACTGTTTTCTTTAGTGTCAGTTGAAGATAGTTCTTAGATATACCTACCAAACACATGTATATGTATTTCTAGTATAAAATACTGTCTGTTTTTCTTCTGTTCTATACACATCTGTTTTCGTCAAACTGTATGGTTCCTGTATCCCTTAGTCTGCAAATAGCTAGGCTTGCTACCTCTCTCCTGAACCAGTGGAGTGTTAATTTTAGGCTTCCATTCTTTGTCAGCGTAGTATCATCTCTTAGCGTTTTAATTCTAAATACCAGCCCTGTATGAAAACTAAGGCAAGAGTATCTTGAGTGATGAAGATCAAAGCTGAGGTACCTTGTGGGAGTGGTGTGTAGGAAAGATGATATAGCACACACCAGGTTCAACTTAGCTTTGCTTGCCAGTACTTACTAGATTGGTTTACTAAAAGCCAAACAAGAATGCTGTCAAATGCCTCTGCCCACCCAGGCAGGTATTGTTACCCTCTGTGTAACGCCAGCAGGCAGGGCGTGGACTAGGATTTGCTTATACAGGCTCTTGATAGCATGTTTTGATTTGGAAGGTTTACTTGAAGCTTGACCAATACTGGGCTCTTTCATGATTTCAATAATACAAGCTAGAAACCAGAGCGGGAACGCAGTATACCTTTTTGTTGATGTGTGCATGGTTGTCTTTGCTTTTCTGCCTTTGCAGAGAGGAATACCTGCGGTGAGTCCTGACGTGTTAAACCAGTTTCCAGCTGCCCCCGTTCCTACTTTAACTGGATTTCCGATGCCACTGCCTGCCACAGTGAGCCAGCAGCCTCTGTTGCCCTCCGCACCGCCCGTCTCCATGCCTCTTAGCATTGGGCCGGGCGTGATGGGAATGAGCATCACGGCACCAGCGGGCGGAGCTGCAGGACAGCCTTCGGGAGGGTTCGTGCCATCCTACCCACCCAGCCAGGTTAGCTTGCTCTTGGTGCATGGCAGATCTCCGTTGTCCTGGAAAGAGAATTAGCCTGACTTTCGAAGCTATGTACAGACAACAGACTTTAAGTAAACGGCAAAAAAAGGAGCTGAAATCTGGCATGTGACATCCGAAAGCGTGAAGTCACGCCACTAAGGATGTTCTGTTATTTTTTCTGTTTCTTTCTGGTGGCATTAGAATAGGTACAGAAGCATTCTCCATTACAAACTAATTGCATTGAAAGAGGGTTGTAGTTGTAGTTAGGATTTTGCAATGCACATAAAATGGAATTCCAGGTTAAACTACACAACAGACGCTATTAGCTGGTAAAATAAGTCCGAGTTTTCAGGAGAAGCTGAGAACTATGAAAACCTCTGGTTTACAACACTGTAAATCATGTGGGAGATAAATTTTGCTGTTTGCAAATATGGTTCATGCTTCTTTGGAAGATATGTTTTCTGATGCTTTTGCTGTGTGTATTGATTTTAAATTATTGATTGATTTGAATTATTAATATTTGTCCTGTATTAAAAGATTACATGGATATGATCAATAATACATTTAAAGTGAAGGGAGTCGAGTTCCTTATTCACCTGTTCTTCACACATGCTACTTGTAATCCTGTACACCCTGTGTGTGTTTTGAGTTGGGTGAAGTGCAGGCGAAGTGGAAACACTGACCGTGCTAATGTTGAAAGGTTTTTTCCTTCTTTTGTTTGTGGTTTTGTTGTTTTGGTTTTTTTTCCCTCTTAAGTCAATCATGCTACTCTAAACTGCTTTCATGCTTTATGACAATTTGAAAAGACAACAGTATAGCAATTTACATGTTGTTTGTAATTCAGGTAGTAAAACCAGAAGATGATGACTTCCAGGAGTTTCAAGATGCTTCAAAGTCTGGCTCACTAGATGACTCTTTCACTGATTTCCAAGGGGATGTAGCTGGCTCCTCCAAAGCAGCCAGTTCACAGCACCGGAGCAGGTAGCAGATCTTTGATTTCCACCTCTTCAGTATTTTAGAACTCTTTTAAGAAATGAAATGTTTTCCTCTTTTGTGGGTAGCTTTCTAGCCTGTAATTTTCTGCTGTCATCTAACTTTTACTCTGGCAGTTTCTTTTGAACGTTGTTACAACTACAATTAGGCTTTCTGAATCAAAAATGACTTGATGTGCCATAGGTGGTTGGCCATTCTTTAACATTCTAGTCATCATGCTGAGGTAAATTGCGTTTACAAGGTATGGGGATAGGTTTTCAAGTGTTTATACTACTGCACAGGCAATTGAAAGTTACTTCATACTGTGCATTCAGGCAAAAATCTTACATAAAGCTATTCAGAAGAAATACACTGGGACAGAGGACGTCTGCATTTAGTGCTGTGTGCTTCCATTAAAAGCATGACCCTATGTTTGTTGGAGTTGATAGAAACCATTTGCTGATATCAAGGTCTTTCTTCACGCCCTGAATATGGATACCAAAATGCATGTAAAGAGCATGACATCATACTCTTAAATGACTGAGAACTCTAGTGGACAGGGTTTTTTTACTTCTATCATTTCTCTGGCCAGTGCTTAAACTTTCGATAACTGACTATAAATCTCAATTGAAATTTCATTCAGACTTCAGCAGTCTTGGCTTTTCATTTGGGAGACTGCCAAAATGTAATTTGGGATCAGGCAAATTTTGTATAACAAAATAAAGTAAGCATGTTTACTCCCTTTGAGAGTTTACAATTAATCTTTCAAAGTCCTGTGATTACAAAATTTCAGTGTTCTTTCCTTTCACTGCACATGGCAAACTTTTATGTACCTCCCAGGTGTCTAATTGTAGACACACAAATTTTCTGTGTATTGAACTGACTGTTCTTAGTTGCAGATAGAACTAGCGTTTTCCAGGTAAGCAGTGATTACTGGTTGCTTCCTCAACAGTGACGTCAAATGGGGATACTAAAACAAATTGTTCCGTTACACCATGCCTAATGGCATTCTATGTAAGAAATTAAATTTTGCTGATGTCAATCAATGCCACATGCATCTGAAGATGCTCTATTTTAAGTATATCTTAATTTGTGTTAGACATCATTTTGCAATTAAAACTGTTCTGTTACTGAAAGTTTTAACGGAAACATTGTTTGTAAATTCCACAATGAGAAGTAGAGGGATCATAAAGAAAAAAAAATAAATTTTTTTAAATGGTGTTTCTTTTTCACTGCAGCAGTTCTCTTTATTCAGTTGTAAAAATGTTCAGTTTTGAACAGAATGTTACAATGAGCTATAATCTAATTGCTTATGGAGCTTTATTTAAAAAAAGCCATCTGTAGAGTACAGATGATTAACCATTACATTTGCCAAGATTGCATATCTAATAGCCTGTTTTGCAGTGATGTGAAATTTAATTATATTACCATAAGCTATATTTTTTTGACATTGCACTGTCTGTCTGCAAGCATCACAGACCATCATTAGCACGTGTGTGCAAGTGCTAGGTTTGTATGTTGCTTGTAGGCTGCTGATAAGGAGATTTAAATGGCTGTGGAAAGATTCTTGCTTCAGGCCGAAGAACACCATAGAAATTCATTCACGTTTTCAATGTGCATAATATTGAATGACATAAACTAGAGGTAAAATGCATCATTCATATGTAAAGGATGTTGTTCTGTAGAGCTGCCAAGGTCTGATAAGGGGGCTTGTGTGGAGGGCAAGCAAAGCTCTCGCAGAACATCTTCTAAATCTTACAGCAGTTGCTAACATGGTATTAGGTTATTATGGCAGTTTTACTATATAAAGTAGAGTGTGTTTATGTGCAAAAAGATTTTCTTGTGACACTGTGGACTAATCCTTATTTTGCTGATAAGATAGCTACCTAAACTCGCTGATTTGCACTGACAGAAATTCAAAGTTATCCTTTCCTTCCTTTTGAACTGTGGTTCCACTTTATTCTCTTAATTTTGCAATATGTAATGAAATATAATCAAAAGTAGATAAGCTGAAAGTATGGAGCTGGCAAAATCTTGTGCAGTTTTAACTCTTTACTGTATCTAGTTCTATCAGGGAGAATTGTCCTTATGCTGCCCTGGGCAAAGCAATAAATTAAACAGCAGTGGTTCTGGGGTATGTCTCTGTGCTTATTCTCTCCTGGGCTAAGAATTCCTGTGGTGTAAAGTTCTGGAGTGTTTCTTTCATGTTTTGGTATAAATCAAAATGAAGAAGGGTGAAAATTGACTTCTGGCCTAAAGAAATATGATTAGGTGAGATAAAGTGTGAATTCACCCATCAGCTACCCACCTGCCTGTTTACGTGCTCTTATTCTTAATAGATACTGAGGTAGTTTACATCAAGTTCTTGATTTAAGAACTCTTTTGGGTTACAAGCTTAGGTTTAGTGATCCAAATTGTGTAGTCATAATAAGGCTTCTTTAAATAAAACCTGGAAACATAGATTTCTTATGGATAAATTAAGGAACTTTGCTTTTATCTCTTTTGTTTTTAGTGTTCCTTCTTTACTAATGCCACTCCCAGGTAATAAGGCACTCTCATCAACTGATAAGTATGCTGTGTTTAAAGGAATTGCAGCTGAGAAGCCTTCTGAAAGTACAGCTACTTTTGGAGGTAAAAGGAAAAATATACAACCACTGTGAGCAATTTATTGCAATATCTCATGTATCTTGTTTTTGGCATTGATAAAATATTAATATTTAAAACCAGAGCAATTATGCCAATATAAAATTTATTATATGAATTCATAATATCTTTATGTAAATGTATTTCTTCTCGTATTCACTAGATTGTGGAGACAAGTATAGTGCTTTCCGTGAATTAGAACAACCATCAGAGAGCAAATACTTAGGTAAGCAGTATGTTTTTTGGAGCTGTTTTAATACATTTTTATGATTATTTTTATAAGCTGCAGAACTTCCATTGCTAGAATTCCAGAATAATGGTGCTTCTGCTCCTCTAAACAACTTAGCGGGAAGTATCCTGAAAAAAAAAAATTGTGATATACTACTGGAACAATCTACAAATTGTATTTCTAGATGATTGGCATCTCTTTTGGATGCTTCTGAGTTTTGTTTTAAAATAACAATATGGCTGGAATTTGTTCATTTTAACTAAGGAGTCAGGTAGTCTTAGAAGACAGATTAAGATGCTTCTGGACAAAATTGCAACTTTTCTCTATTGTTAGGGCAGAATTTAAACTTTTCTGGTTTCTGGTGCTCTAAGAATAAATCTGATCACTTATTTTGAAATTTGTGTTTAACTGGTTTTGATTGGGAAAAGTAAAAGGTGGCATGTGAGGTGCAAGACTTGTGTAGTTACAAAAGCAGAGTCTCCCTAAGCCTTTTCCAGAACCATCTATGTCTAATTCATTTATGCAATATAAGTGATAATCTCATCTTTTTAATCAGATGGGGAAAAAGTTTTGTGTATTATCAGTAGACAGATCAGAAGATAAACATATTACTAACTTAACATAAGTCTGTGAAAGTCAGGTTATACCCAGCATTTTGTTTGTCATTATTAGAAGACAACTTTAGACTCTAGGATAAAACTGCTTACCTGAGTTCACTCCTACACATTTGTCAAAGACAGAATTCTTTTTTTCAGATGCTGAGTTTCTGAAACCCCTGTAATGTTTTGTGAGGTTTTTGTGCTCAGTACCTCTTCAGGATTAAATGCATGCAATGAAATTAAATAACATTTTATCTCTTTCTGTACATGTTCTAAAATACAGGAAATTACTATATATTTGCCTGCTATCCAGGTCTGACCACTCTTAACCCTTTCACCAGCTTACATTTCTAATGGAAAAGTTTGCAATTTATCAGTAAGTTTAGTTTGCTGTGATGTTTTAGTTTTGATCAATGAATAGCAATTTCATGAATATTTGTACTGTTGCTGGGCCAAGTGAATTGATTTGGAGGGGAGGGAGAATGGAAGAATATGTCAGGTATAGTCATGGTCCTTTACTACCATTATAAAGAGTATTCTTTTAAATCTTGGTTAAACTAATTTGAAGTATGACACTGTGTGGTAGCTTAAGAATTAAATGTTAATGGTGTACTTATAAAATAGAACAAAATCTGCTTATTGGACACTTGTCTTAAAGTATGCATCAATACTTTAAAACTACAAGTAGTCTAAGTATGTAGATGCTGGTGAATGGGTTAAACAACTCAACATTTTTCATGTTCAAAAGAAATTGCTTTATAAAAAAACCAATTGTGTATGAACAGGAAGAAACTTATAAAATCAGTACACCGAAATATTTAATGTAAATTTAATGAAAACATGGAAAACATTGTTACCTAATGTTTAATCAGGTTTAAATTATAATCCTTACATAGCATGATCTTGCGTTCAATATGTAGTTGAACTAGAGATCTGCACACCTCCAAGCTTCCTAGTAAAACTGTAATCAGTCTTAGCAGAAGCTAGAAGATGCCCGAATTATTACATATTACTGAAGTTCTGATCACTTAACGCTTTTGTACGTTTAGGGGAACCTGATGGAAGGAAAACATGGTAGATTAAAATGAGAGCTTAAAAATGTTTTGAAACAAGACGTTAGGATTAGCACCTTGCATTCTTTTCTGTTTGGGCCTTTGTCTCTTCCACCTGTTGGGGTCCCCATTATGCCCAGTTGGATAGGCTTGTTGGCTGTCTGTCTTCTTTCAAGTGAGGTTTTTTCAAAAGTACCTTTGGCCACCAGGCAAGTCTGGTTGGTCTCTACTATGTTCCCTGTTCAGCTTATCAGCAGGGTTGCTTTTGTCTCAACCCTTGCTGACGCCCCATGAATAAACTGTATTTAGGCAATATTTTGAAGAGAGGGAGGCAGAGAACTGCTTCTGTAAGAAGGCAAATACTACATTGGTGTAAGTGAAATTCAAGGTTACGTTCATTGCTTTGCAAATTTGAGAAGGATGACGTGGGAAAAAGAACTTATGTGGAAGCTGAATAGGACAGTACTGATCACCTTTTGAATCTATTGGTGATGGTGTGTTTTGATATTAACTCAGTGTAAAGGGAATTTAATATGACTTTGAGGCTATTTGAAAGACTTAAGTGTTTGCTGGAATGAATAATAGAATCACTGACCTTGAAACTTGTGTGGTTCATAGAAGTTGAGTTTGCAGTTCTGCGTGCATCCTGAGGTCTTAAATTAAGTAGTTTGCATAAAAACTTCTGACATTGCATGAAATCGTTTGCTTGCTTGCATGGTGTGAGTATGATGTATTTGTTGTCACTGCAGTGTCTTCTTATTGTTTTTTTCATTGTTTTTATTCTCAGGAGATAACCTTGCAGAATTCAAGCCTGCAGGAACCGATGACGGTTTCACAGATTTTAAAACCGCTGACAGTATCTCACCGTTAGAGCCACCTACGAAAGACAAAACTTTCCCTACACCCTTCCCTTCTCTGCCTGTTCAGTCAAAACAGCAAACGCAAGCAAAGACCTCTTTGAATCTAGCAGACTTGGATCTCTTTTCCTCTACTGGAGAAAACAAGCAGCCATCCTTTCCACCTGCATTTAATACGTCAAAATCGGGCTCTTTTCCTCCACCACCTCTTCCATCTACCACCGCCCAACCAGCACCCAGCAAAAGTTCAAGCTTAGCTGATGACTTTGGAGAGTTCAACCTTTTTGGGGAATTTTCTAATTGCGCATCAGCCAGTGGACAAGATGATTTTGCAGATTTTATGGCTTTCAACAATAGCAGTGGATTTTCCGAACAAAAACCAGATGACAAATATAATGCACTTAAGCTTGAGGCCGGTCCTGTTCCTCAGTCTGGCTCGTCTGCCAGCGTGGCGAAGAGTGGGCAGAGTTCTGCCACTGCTGCTACGCCCACCAAATACGATATCTTCAAACAGCTTTCTCTGGAAGGCTCTGGAGCAGGCTTTGAGGAGGCGAAGGACAACACGCTTTCTTCAGTGAAGAGCGATGATGATTTTGCGGACTTTCACTCTAATAAGTTTTCTTCCACGTGCAACAGCGCGGATAAGTCCCTGGTGGACAAAGTCGCAGCGTTCAAGCAGGCCAAAGAAGACTCTGCTTCGGTGAAGTCTCTGGATCTCCCTTCTATTGGTGGCAGTAGTGTCGGCAAGGAGGATTCTGAAGATGCGTTGTCTGTTCAGTTTGACATGAAACTGGCTGATGTGGGAGGAGATCTTAAACATGTCATGTCTGATAGCTCTTTGGATTTGCCAACAGTTAGTGGCCAGCATCCACCAGCAGCAGGTGAGGAACTGGTTAGATTGCTCTGGTAACATAGGTGATGGAGATTTCAGTGTTTTTCTGTGTGCTAAATTACAGTATTATGCACTAGTCTTTCAGTAGTGAAAGACTTCTAAATCTGTGCACCGGCTAGCCAACAGCCCCTTAGCAGGGCAGTGTTTATTTTTTGTCTTAGAAGACTATAAATAAGTTGAACAGTTTGAACTCCATGCCAGTTTATTTTTGAGATTTGACAACATCAGATGACTGGTACCTGTTAGCTATTGTCACTTAAGGGATTCGAGTGGAAAATTTTCTAATGCAAACAATGTCATTCCATTTATATTAGCAAGATGAATGGCAGAGAGTCACACTTTAATCTCTTGGTTTCAACAAAGCATTTGGCTTGGGGACTTAACCCGCTCTGCGCTTCTAAAAGGGTAGGCAGAACACTAATTTGTGCTGTTAATGAAAAGCTGTCTAATCAACAACACTAGTATATTCCTGTTACAGTAGGGCTTAATCTGTGTAGCCAGTATTTTGCAGGACTGCAAGTAGAAGTATTGCATACACTGCTTAGAGTTAAAACCCTCGTTGGAATAATTGTGCAAAGGGCCTGTAAATGCTGGTCTCATGATTGGTAACTCTTGGACCTAAATTTAAAACCATAGGACTTTTACTTTATCCTTATCAGGTTTTCACCTTCTTTAATTTCCCTTTATGAAAGTACTCCTGAGAGAGTGAATTGACCATCTCCAATGTGATCGCATATCGTAAACCAAATTTCCCAAGTGTCCTGCTTTTTCTTTTCAAGCGTACATAGGAAGATAAGATGTAGTTAAATGTTCTGTGGCCTTCAATAATACAGGAACCATTACTGTGTTTTAGCGACAACTATTATGCAGTCAAAGGCTTTTCTGAACAGGGGGGAGCATACAAACTGTAAATGTAAAAGCTGTTACTGCAAGAATTGGTTATTTCCATATGAAATATTTCTTCCATTTTTGCAGATATGGGTAGAGAAAATATACAGTACTGTAATTTTGCATTATATGATATTTTTAAGTAGGGGAGAGGATTAAGTTGGCAACTTTGACATGGAAGATACTCTATAACAGGGTACAAAATATCAGGAATAATTTATTAGCAAAGACATTTAATTTTCATATTACTGCTTGGTAAAATTCCAAGTTGAGTGAGCTGTCAAAAACGTAGCATCTACAGTGTATTCTTGAATGTTTACTTTGGTTTTGAAAGCACTTTTTCCTAATATTTTTCTAGCCTCTTTTCGTGGTAGTTTGACTTACGTAGCTCTTCTACAGGATGTGAGCTTTTGCCACAGAAATCAGTGATTAATAATTGCCATTTGTGGCAGGAAAGACTTTTTTGGTTTGTTTAAAGGGGTTAGCCGATCATGTGCTTGTTGCTAAACTTTTGAACTCTGAAGTATTAATTAGAAGCTATTTTTATTATACTTAAACAAGTCTGTATTCTCCTATGGTGCCAAGCTAGATGTTTTTCCACAGGGAGAGTTTTACTCCATTTAACTCTGTTTGGATTTCGTAGCAGAGCATGCTCTGGATAATCTGTTACGAATACTTCTGTGCCCATGTGTTCCTTTATGTGTGTTTGATGCATTTCAAGCTAAGAACTGCTGATGTTCAAGTCCTTTTTTTTTTTTTTTTTTTCAGTTTACATAAAGTTAAAAAGCAGATTTTTTTTCTCTTAATTTTCTTTGATCTGTAAATCTAATGTCAAAAAGGGACAGTATCCCTTTGTCATGTTCACTGCTGAGAAATGGGAGACTAGTCATTGGGAACTCTATGTTTGCAAGCACCATGTAACATCTCCAGTGAAACAGCAGCAGGACAGAGGTGCTGGTAAATGATTTGACTTTTTTGACATACTAATACAGAGGTCTTTATCCTTTGGCTATGGAGATTTCATGTTGCGTAGCTTCCAGGTATAGGCAGGTAGGTTGCTTACACTGGGAATCAGAAAGAAATCGTTGAGTTGCTTCCCATACGACGGACTTTGGTCTCTGAGGGAAGAAAGGTTTTCAGTTTTGCTCTCTCCAAAGGGGATACTGTCTCTTTAAACTTTGCTATAATTCTTTGTGTGGAAGGTAGATTATACTAATGTTGCCTGATTTCTCTTGCATTTACTTCGTATAACCCTTTGAGCACTGGCTGCATGCTGTTAGTTTCAACCAGGCTGCTTCTTTTAAACCAAATTTACGTTTCACTTCAAGACGAAAGCATTTTAATTAGCACCTAGTCATGTTATATGAACCCAATTTGTTCTGCGTCCTGCTGAACGTTGCAGCGAGAGCATACCCTTGCCTGGGTATTCTCAAAGGGTTATCCATTTGCTGCACTTACAAATCTGTAAAGTACCTTTTTCTTTGGCATTACTGGAGATCTCTGTATATTTTAATCAACTTCAGGTTTTTTGCTGCTTTTCTAATGTCTAATTTCAACTAAACATTTCCTGTGTGAATGTGCCTTCTCAGATCTGCTTTGATATCTCTCTTCTGCAAGTATTGACCTGCATGCTTTATTCTGATAACGCCCTTACGAGCTCCTATGTATCACTATCTTTTGTGATCTGTAAGTCCTGCTGTGTTAATAAATATTATCTTGGCATATTTTGAAAATGTGGGGATGTGTGTGATTTGTTGCAAACCAGCAATGTATCTCTTTTTCCTGAAAAATACAAAGTTTAAAGTTATAGTATCCCCTTAAACTGGCAGGTGCCTTTCTCTTGCAGAGCAGTGTGTGGGTGAGCTTCTTCCTCCTCTTCCAACGCTTTGACCTTGCTCCTGCTGCACTCCTGAAAATTTACATATCAGGAAAAATAATATTTTTCAAAAGAGCAGTTTTTGAGAGGGACTGAATAGAGGAAATGTGTGGATGGCAGCGTTGTTTCTGTGATTTGGTTTTGAGGGTATGGTGGTAGTTCAGACTCAAGGCAAATACTGTTTTTTCTGTCTCGTTGTCTCCTCATCTGGATTTCCCTGCTGCCAGCCAAGGTTATGATATGCCTTTGTGAAGGGGACCAACTGGAAAATGTGTCGCTATCTAGGCCTTTACGAGTAGGAGCCCGTTAAACAATATTCTGATATTTATCTAGCTAATCTAGAGCAAGTTAATCGGTGCCCCAAAGTGAAGGACCCTGCTTCCTTTTTCTGTTTGGGAAGTCCTGCCTTACTAAATATTGAAACTTTCAAACACAAATGACAGCTGCAAATTTCTGTCTTGTAATTATGTCACTTCGAATTCCTCCAAATCCTGGGCCACTAACAGTTTGGGATTAATGTCGAATTAGCAGACAAGGTAAAAAGCTAAAGATAATTGAGATATGGAATTACACCAGCACAAACTGGGTTTTTGTAGTTCCTTGCCACAAGATCAAAAACCAGAATATGTTTTTTTCTTCTTTACACCAATCTTGAGAGACTTTAAAAGAAAAAAAAACAACAAACAAAAACCAAATGAAAACAAACAAAAAACCAAACCAAAACAACACTCCTCTTTCATTCTCAAGAACCAGTAGGTTATGCCTAGCCCTAAAGCTTTTTAAACTGAAGGCTTGAACATAAACCTGAGAGACTTACTAATAGCACAAGCCCTGCAGAATTATTTGTTCAGCTAATCATACTTGGAGGAGGGAGAGTAATGTTCATGACTCTATTACATTTTTGTCAAGACTTCACAGTCAAATTCACTCACTCGCATTCATCTAGTATAATTCTGCAAATAGAAGAGCTTAACAACACTTATTTATCCTGTGAAGGCCTCTAACAGCGGAGGGTGCATACGTGTTTTCTGAATGCCTTCCAAGCTGAGCCAAAGGGCGCAGCGCCTGCCCTGGGCTTCTGCAGGACTGAGCTGAGCTGTCTCTCCGCTTCCAGTGCAAGCTCAGGGGGTCTTTATTGTGCTGTGAAATGTTGTCTGTCATGATAATTAAAAAATAATTAGCAAATTCTTTAATTCCACAAGGTTTGAAGGCTTTTTCTCTGCTTTTTCCTTAATTTTATCTGATTGTCAGCATTCTTGATGGTTTCCACCTTAGCAGTGCTAGGTACTGCCATGCTTTAGCAAAAGTAAATTGGAGTAACTCCCTTATCATTAACGTTGTTCCAGACTTCCCCAGCTGAGAAACGGGCTTTGAATTTTTCTGATTGCTGATAGCCATGACACAGGTAGCAGTGGCACATACAAGCCTCTGTATTCTTCCAGTTTCATCTCCGCCTTTATCAGGTAAAGCCCCGCTGGAAGCAGTAAGGAGGTGGTGCCTGTCCCCATCCAGTCTCTGGGCTTCTTGCTCAGACTGCTGGCAATGTTCCCGGTGCAACAGCTCTGGTTTTGGTGCCTTGATGCTGTTCCACTAGAAACAGAACTAGCTACCACCTGCATCACCCTAACAACCAAAAAATAAGAGAGTTATATTTATTCATCAGAATTTAATATAAACTGAAATATAAAAACTTGAAAGTCTCCTGTGTTGGTTAAAATCACTAAATACATTACAATCTTCTGAATTGTCTTTTTCAGTTTTCTGTGGAATATCACTAATGCTGTCAAGGGTTTTCCTTAAATGATTAAACTGTTGACATTGAAGGCTCCAGCTTGTAAATTGCCTCCAGCCATAACTTAATCCTTGGTAGTTGAAATAAATTGTTATAGTTGGCTCAAATGAAGGATGTCAAGTTTTTCTGTAGATGAGATAACACTGGGAAACGGTGCTTTAACTGTATTTCATCCTCTGTCAGTATTCTCCTGTACATTCCTTGGCAGCTGTTGCTTTGCCTCTCTCCAGCAGCTGCATGGCTGGCTTGTATAGCTGTAGCTGTCCCCAGGTGATGATCAGGCAGGCTGGACTGTGGTTTTGGTAGTTCAAAATGGATGGAAAGTAAATGGTAAATATTTCAAACCTTTTGCTTTGGAAGAAATACAAATTGAATTTGGTTTCTAAAGCTCTCGGAAACTTACTGCACTCTAGCATGACACTGTGAAGATCACTTTTTCCATTCTTGATCCACTAGAAAATATTTTTAAGAAAAAAAAGTGTGATTACGTGATACTTGAACGGATCTGACTTTGATTTTTACAGACACACGCACCGGTCCCACCCTGCCCCCATCTATAGGTGATTTGAGAATCTATATCCAGTGTATTTAATCTGGGGTGTGCTTTGTGGTCTCACCAGTGTAAAGCTGACGGTGATAATGACATGTGGCTTTAACTCTATTGGGAGTAAGAGCTTTTGGATTTTTATAAGAAAACTGAACTCAAATCTCTTGTGTCATTTCTGAAAGACACCACAGAATTGCTACTGAGATTTCTAAGGACTACCGTTTTATGACAATATATTTCACTGAAATCTATTGATATACCTCCTATGGTAGGATTATAGGACTCCTAATGCATGATCAATTCAAGATCTGCCCTGCTTCGACTGGGAATTCGCTGTATGCTCTCCAAAAAATGCTAACTAAGGAATCACTTTTAACCTTAAAGAAAAAGATTGTGTATCCCCAAAACAAAGCATTTTCATATAATTTTGAATGAATTTAGTCTTTGCTCTTTTTTTTGTTGTTGTTGGATAAAATTTGATGCTTCTCATTAGTTCAGATTCTGTTCTTACTAAAAGTGTCCTGCAGGAGGAAATGGCGGTAGCTCTGTAGCATCTGTCATCACTAAGTGTGATGCTTAGAAGTAATTCATTTTTTCCCCGCTTAATCATCTCTTGCTTTGAAAAAAAAATTACCGATACACATGCATCTTTTTAAATTTTGAATTGCCATACCGGCAAAATGAAGCTTTTATTACATCAGAGGCTAGAACTGCAGCATTGTAACTGGAGCCTTTTTATTCATTACACGTATCTGTGGTCTTTAAGAAAAAGGCTGTTTGGAGGAGCAGTTCTTAACACTGCTTAATAAAACAATGTTTTGCCAATAATACAGATACCCACATCATGAAGAGTTCTCTAGGCTCAGCCAAGAAGTACTTTTCACATGTAAACTGCTGCTTTGCTTATTAGTCTGGTGGCAAGTTGCTTTGCTACCTGTTGGGGGGGAAACTCGTCTCTTCATTATGCAGCAGATGTGCTAAAGAGCTCAGATAAGCCTTTAGTTTTGCTGTAGCTGTGGCAAAGGTTATGGTGTAATTTCCTCTATTCAAAAACATCTAACTTGTGGCAAATGATTCCATGATATGCAGTGTGTGGCACAGAAAAATGTTGGGGTTTTTGCAACAGAATAAAAATTCTTATAAAAACTAGTTTAACTTGGATTATGGACAGTTACACATACATTCTTATTTTCTATACTTCTCAATAAATTGTTTTTGAACTGCTTTAGCTGTAAACACTTTTTCTCTGAACACAGTATTTTTCCTGTAATATAATACTCTTAGGAAAGTTTATTCACCAGAGTAAGCCTTTTGTAACTATCTAAATAAATAAAACGTACAGAACTGAACTATTACACATTTCATCTCCGCTCTTACACCTATGCAGATGGCTTTCGTGGCTGCATGAATTCACACAGAGAATCTCGAATCTTAGTTTGTGAATAATTAAAATATTGTTCTGCCTTCCCTGCCGTGACCTATTGATTGCAGGCGAAGCATGGGGAGTTCAGGATTCCCACTGAAGCCTGCTGCTGATTCTGCCTGTCCCTGAGCCAGGATCAGATCAGGAGGAGTACGCTGACCTGGTCCTTTAGGATGTGTTTTCAGCTCAAACTCTTACCAGTTATCAAAGAAATCATTCACAATAGATTGTGCAGGTCTTCACAGTAGGCTCATCACTCTTTCCTTTCATTTCCTGGTGAGCACCGAAACAATAGCAGTGCTTAAATCTTTGATGGGTTTTGGAGTCAACACAAATTGAAAAAAAGAGGTTGCCTAGTACACCATGGTATTTTCAAGATCCCAGGATTAATTACAGTTGGCTAACATTTTGTAGGTTATTCTGGCACTCTCTTTAATGCTAGCAAAGCTTTCATTTAACTTCTTTAAACAAAACTGTGTATTTGAGAGCATAAGGTGCGGTTTCTTGTGATAAATTACTGATCCCTTGCAAGTCAGCTTCTTTTCACCTCGGAGCCTTCTTTCTATTCAGTTTTGCCATAAGCAGGTGATTTCATCTCTTGCCTGTTTACCCTCCTGTAAACTGCTTGCTCTACAAATTTAATATTCGAATGGCTCTTTGAAATCCTGCTGTATATATGCAAGGTGCTAACGTTTGTTATTGAGATGCTGTCATGTGCAAATGCAGCAGCTGCAGGAAGACTATCCCTTAGGAAAATCTGATAGATGACACACCATGCCTCGCTGACCCATTGCAAAGGGCCTTTTATTGTAGTAGCCATTAAACTCTATCATTATATTGTATCTTTGTTGGGCTTTTTAATTAGCCATGTATGTGGGTCGTGCCTGGAAAGCAGCCTGAAGTGTAGCGTGCTCTCCCCTTCCAGTAAAATGAATAAATGAAGGCAGAAATGTTTTGTTGAAATGGCTTAATCCTCAGGCTGGTGTGGCCAGATTGAATAAAGAGGGCAGCTGGAAAGTCAGCTTGTTCCCACCCTGGCTGTATTAAACCCAAGTTGCTGCTGCTGTGTGCCAGCCAGTTAAGACCATAATGTTTATCAGAGGAGTCTCAGCTAAAATGATGCTAAGAGAATGTATTTTCTGGTTTGGGTTTGCTTTACCTCGAGACCATTTGACCCTAGGCGCTGAGCAGCGGCTGAATGTCTAATCCAAACTGACAATTGTTAATGCTGGAAAACAAATGCCAAATGTAGTATAGTAGGGTGCTTTTTTTTAATGCTTTAATGAAAACTACCCAGCCCCTGGCTCTCTGTGCCTTCGCTATGGATCAATCTCAGTCTAAACATGAAAGATCAGTTGAATGAGTAGCGGACAAAGCCCAGCAGACCCTGGTCACTGTGCAGGCTCCTTTGCTGGCTCTAATGTAAGCAACCAGGCTATATCTCAAACCTGCTCATGGCAGTGAGAAGAACCTATTGGCCCATATAATTACCAGGTGAGTATAAATGTTTGGAGCTTTCTGCAAAATAATTGGATTTTCTCTATACTTAACTGAATAAATAGCTGGTAAAAGCTAAAACAAGATCTTCGCAATATTTGTGTCGTTCCTGGAACCTGTAAGTTGGAAGCATTGGCTGTGCGGCACTGCAGTAACTGTGATAAGCTTAAACAGGATTTCGATTTCTTAAAAATTCTTGCAGCACATTTTTATACATTATTTGTATCAAAGCATGAATATAAAATTAAAGTGTATTAATACTTTATCGGAAGGAATAGAAAAGTTAGCCCAGTCTTCTGTGTGGTTGGTTTTGATAAGATGAAATAATGCGATAAGATGTTTGAGTTGCTAATGTTTACATTTTGATTGTAGATTCTGCAGCCAGCATCAGAAAACTGAACTGGTGATCTGTGCAGTCTGTACTGTCTAGAAACATTTATTTTTTTAGAGTTTCTTCACTACCTGTAATGGGGTGGTGACTTTCAGCTTAAAATACAAGGCAATATTCAAAGGTCAGGGCTTACGTTTATTAGATGGGGAATTTTTTTTGTATTAAATGCTTAGGTATTTTTCAGATTATTTTTGTGCAAACTCTAGTGTAAGCCTCATTGAAACAACAATTCACTATGTTTGTTCTTGCAGTTCTTTAAGACTCTTAGCAAGTTGCTGTTGTTTTTATACAGTGTAGAGAGATTAACGTTTGAACTTCAGCTTCTAATTGTAGGGGTTTGTTTTTCTCAGATATAGATGACTTAAAATGTGCCCCATTTGGAAGCTATAACAGTGGGTCTGCAGTCAGCAGCCTGGCAAGCTATGACTGGTCCGACAAAGAAGACATTCATCAGGGCAAGAAGCTCTCTTCCTTTGTCCAGTCTTCAGGAAGTGGATCCTCTGCGGCTACTTCTGTTCTTCAGAAGAAGGAGACCTTGTTTGGCAGTTCAGAAAACATTACCATGACAACAGTTTCCAAAGTGACAACCTTTTCTAGTGAGGATGCTTTACAGGATGTTTCCTTTGCAGCCTTTGCAAACTTTAAAGACTCTGGACCAATATCCAGCGGTCCAAGTGACGATGACATTGGAGACTTTGGTGATTTTGCAAGACCTTCATCAGAAGCACAGGATGCAGCAGCAGCAGCAGCTGACACAAACCAAGAGGCAGATTTCCTTGGTACTGGCATCTCTTCTGAACTGCGAAGAGAGTCCACAGATGACTTTGGAGAATTCCAAAGTGAAAAGCCAAAAATCAGCAAGTTTGACTTCTTGGTGGCAACTTCCCAAGGCAAGGTGAAATCTAGTGAAGAAATGATCAAGAGCGAACTGGCTACCTTTGACCTGTCTGTTCAAGGTAAGCCTGCTCAGGGTGGAGGAAGCCCATAATGCATGTGCTAATCAAAGGCTAATTTTTCTAATCAAATCATCAATTAGCCAATGGGGATTGTTCCGAAGGCTACTAGAAACAAACTGAATCTTCTCACTGATTTCTATTGTGTTTGGAGCAGGTGTCTTTCTAGAAGAAAAAAATTTTTGTGCCAAAAAATTGTAAGTATTGAGGAACTGGGGAAATTTGCACCAGTCACCGAGTAAATGGAAGACTTTGTTCTTCTGGAGTAGTAGGGCAACCCTTGCTACGACTTTATTCATTTTAAATAGGCTATGCCTTTATGAGTAAAAGACTAACTTGTTTATATCCTAACTTTTTAGGGTCTCATAAAAGGAGCTTAAGCCTAGGTGACCGAGAAATAAGTCGCTCTTCACCTTTACCAGTTTTGGAACAGCCATTTAGAGATCGTTCAAATACTCTAAGTGAGAAGCCTGCTTTGCCTGTCATCAGAGACAAATACAAAGACTTGACTGGGGAAGTTGAGGTAAGGAATTATCTGGAATACAAGTAAATTGGCAGTGATTTTCGTCAGTGTCATATCAAGGGTATTCTGTATCCCAGCTCTTTGGAACTTCAGCTATTTGAATTTAGGGTATGATTCTAAGATGGAATCTGGGTAAGGTTAGATGTTTGGACTGGAAAGTGCTCATAAAGGAGGTTTCTTCTCTCCTGTCTTTAAAGTCTTGTGAAGTGGGAAAAAAATGCTGTTGTCTGAAAGTCAGTCAGAATCACTTGACCTTGCAGTCTAAGCTTGTAACTGGAAATTAGTTATGATTTAAATCTAATCCCAGCTTTGGCACTGAGACCATTGGCTTTGGGAAATGGCTTAACTTTTTGGCTGTGTGGTAGTTATTTCTCTTGCTCATCTTGAGAATAGTTGGTAAAAGGACTCAGATTAAATTCTGCTAATCCCCATTTCTAGAACAGCAGACGTGTAACAAATGTGTTGGGAGTAGGTATGTGCAGTGCAAACTTTTTACCCATTCATGTATGTTTTTCCTTTTGAAACTAGTTCTACCTCCCAGAAATCAAATTTTAAAGTTCAGGTGCAAAGAGAACATTTAAAGAATGGGGGGAAAATTAGGAGTAGTCATGTTAAAAGTTTACATAGCTGATCTGCAAATAGTCTTTTAAAATACTTGTCTACTGTATATCTATTGTGATATGTGAAGGGGAAATGCCTGTAGGAGCAAGATTCAGACTGTCCTTTTCTTTCAAATAGGAAAGTGAGAGGTATGCATATGAATGGCAAAGATGCTTGGAGAGTGCCCTGCAAGTAAGTGTATAGCCTTATCCAAAACCTTTTCCTCCTTCCTGTAGGTGCCACCTCACTCAGCGTTTAAGATCGTATAGGCATAGAAAGGGTGGGAATCAGCCCAAGCGGATTACAGTTTTTAAACCAAAAGCTGTCACACAGCAGAAGCGTTAGGTCCTTAGTTAAAGATCCTATACTAATCTCCCTGTCATTTGTGATTAGTTTGGCTTTTGCCTAAATCTTCAAGTTAACTAGTTAATGTGGTGTTCCTGCATTTTGGGTGCCCAGTAAGGTATGTTGTTCTGGGCATTGATACCAGCATCTGGCTCTTCAGCACTCCTTGATAATTAGGCTTATTTAATGTGCTGTGCAGGGGGGCCATTAATTTTCTGGTAACGGGTGTCAGATGCTTCACAGCCAAATTAGTTTTCCTTAAAATTTCTTCTTTGCATTTGAGCATTAGCCAAAACCATGAATCTTATTATTAAACTAGATAGCAATGCATGTGTACTCTTAAAACTATTATTTTGGTAATGAAAATATTTGGGGGAATATGTTAAGGTTTTAAATGTTCATACTTTTCCCCTGATCTACTTACAGTTACGGCATGAATATATAAAACCATGTGATGGAGTATGGCAATTATTTCTTATTTAATGTGCCTCCCTTTCTGTATAACAGTTTCTGTTGGGGACAATCTTCTTCATAATAATTACTTTAAGGTAGAGAACACCATCATTTTATGAAATTCATTTCCACCAGGTCATAAAGAAAGCAAATGATACCTTAAATGGAATAAGTAGTTCATCCGTTTGCACTGAAGTTATCCAGTCTGCTCAAGGCATGGAATATTTACTAGGTATGTTTTAATTTACCATGTCTCTTACACTGAAAGTTCTCCTCTGAATAACGGTAATATATAATCACTCTTTCCAAAATGGTATTATTTTTTAGCTTAATCTTTGCCTGTGCTGAAATAATGAACAACTCTTCTGCTAAATAAATGTAACCACCACTTTGAAATAACCGTCCATGACCACCTTTCATGTGCCATGCCTATTTTGTGCTATTTCTGAGTTAAAGTTTCAGGAATCCTCCACTGTGTTTTATATCAACAGGGGTTGTTGAAGTCTACAGAGTAACAAAGAGAGTTGAACTGGGTATCAAAGCAACTGCTGTTTGTAGTGAGAAACTCCAGCAGCTGCTGAAGGATATTGATAAAGTGTGGAACAACCTAATAAGCTTCATGTCACTTGCTGCTTTAACGGTAAGACCAAAAATAAGCTATGTCTTTATTAAAAGAAATGTCATAATTACATGTAAAGTGACTTCATGGGGTGTCCTAACTTTACAGTTTGTATTTTTCTTTTGCAAAATGGAAATGCACTTGTTTGTGAAATCCAGTTTAAAGGTCTGTGTAAGAAAACTGTTATTTATGTACAAACGTGACTTTATCTTAGTGTCTTAATGATTTAGATCCTGTGTATCTGTGGACCTCCCCAATAAGGAAAATGTAGTAAAATTTAAATAAGCCATTTTATGAAGCCAGAATAACGCGGACAGATCTTGTCTTTGTAATACCCCTGCAGTTAGTTTTAACGCTCACAATACAAGAGCACACAATGTAGCAACACAGGAACAACTAAACTGTTTTCCCTTCTGTCTGCATTTGGAAATGCCAAAGTTTGCTTTGGTTCCTGCTACACACTAAAGAGCTTTTCCTCCTCTGAATAGAACTGCCAGAAAAAGCTCAATTGCTCTGAGACAGTCTGGTAGGAGCTTGCGAGCTTTCTATGTGACTGGGCGAGTGTGACAAGGAGAGACGGTGAGGGGCTGTCTGAGGGGTGGCCTTTAAGTGAAGGAGCACCCCATGGGAAGGGTCTGCAAAGGAGCTGGGGAAAAGAGGGGCACGCTGGGGCCCGGTACAGAATACACACAATAAGAAGGCAAGAAAATCACTTTGCCATTAAATACCTTGCACTTTTTTGTGTATGTATGTTGCAGGAAATACAATGTGCAAAATTACTTTCTTTAACCATGGTAAAACTCATATTTTTAGGGAATCATCCATCTGTGGGTGCTTGATATCATCTTGCATAATGGATCCCTTTAACTCAGTATATACCTAAGGAGTCTTTAAATCTTAGTACCAGTACATCGCATCAAGCATCAATAAGCAGATCATTACCATGGTTATGGTTTCACTGAACATTTTGATTTGTGGCTTCCTTCTTGCAATGCAGCTATGGCCACTAAAGATTTTTGCTTCCCAATAAAGACTCGTTTGTAAGTAAGACCCAGAGTATTTGGTTGCTGCTTGAAATAGCCATCTTTAGCTCACTGTCATTCCCTGCAAAACAGGTATTATAAATGATCAGTCCCTTTTTACACACCTTTTACACATTTTTAAACCTCTCCAGTACAATCAGCGGTGGCAAGCAGGTATTTTTGGTGATGTCCTCTATTGCACCAAAGCCTGTCATAATATGAAATTTATACTTTCAATATTTTACTGCTTGAAAGATGAAGTTGATAGACTGGGATTCATCTGTTTGAACTCTGGCATTGTTGATAGTAACAATCTAAAAAGCTATTGGGATCGTCTGCTGATTTAAGCAAGTGGATTAAAATTTAGTTCTTAAAGTGCTTTTCCTTGGAAGATTACAGGGATTACCTTAAAGTCCAAAGCTTGGCCATGTGTTCACCAAGCTGCAGCGGTCCAGATAAATTTTAAATATACTAGGAGCTGCGAATAATGACTTCTCATACACACACAGAGTACCTCTGAAGTTATCTAAGAGACAGAGACTCCCACAGCTCTCAGAATCATCCCTTCCTGTTTCTCTTCCCACCTGGGTCACTGGAAGGTGTGGAACTCATACCTTCTTTCCCTGGTATTGCAGTCACCAATCCCAAATGATGCAGAATTGCCAGTTAAGTAGAGAGAAGTATTCTAGCTCAGAGGCATGTGCTTGGAAAGGTTACTTTTATCTTTTAAAGGATTTTGTTACAAGGTAATTTTATACACAGCCTTGTGGTTTTTCACTGCAAATTACAGGATGACCTTCTCATTTGCTTCACTCATGCATTTGGTAAACAAATATTAGAGTGCCTTTATTAATTTGATTGATCTACTTAAAGATTAAGGGGTGTTTTTTTCAGGATTCCAATTATTCTCCAGCCATTCAGTGGGAGAACGTGATCAGCATACCTAGAGTGTGGATTAAGAGTACACGTGTTCTAGGATCACACCTTTTTTTTAAGCTTCTTGCATTTCTAGTCATTGTTTTTATTTGCACTACTATCTTCAAGCAAAATGTCAACAGTTTTATACCATCCTTATGCAAAGTTTTAAATTACCATTCATCTTGTGGCTGAAATGTAAGATGATGTACTGGAAAAGTGACTATGTTCATTTATTACTTATATGCAGGCTTATTCTCCCAACCTTTGCCTCTCTTTAACCTGAGCTTGTGTATGGCTGGTGCCGTAATTCTTCTATGGTTTGGTTAACCTTAATATCCCATTTTGTACTGCTGTGCCATATTCTAGATTCCGAAAAACCTTCAGAAAGAAGAACAACTGCCCTTTTTTGACCAGGCAATATTATGGAATTCAGGACAATAAACAGTGATACAGACACCGCTTCAAATGCTAACTAGTGAAAGCTGTGCTGGCCGATGCCTTGTTTCCTTGCAGCTGCACAAATAGTCGTTGCATACCACTGTTTATCTTCGTCCAGTTCTTAATACGCTGCAGTTGAAATGTAGCAGCCGCCTCCTGGGCTCTGTCCTCAGAAGTTTCTTCCCCTTTTGATGTGGGAACATGGAACTTAAGAATTCGTTCCTTTGTAGTCTAACCCTTTTTCAAGAGCTTGAGTGTTATAAATTAATGCTGACGGAGATTGCATAGCAGGATTGCAAATACATACTAATGGCTCTGATTAAATCACACATCAGTTTATGAGAAAATGTAATATGTCATCCCTGCCGTGTTGCTGGTGTGATACCATGGCTCTCGGTAGCAACCAGATCGATAATTTTTATCCTGATGTCTGAAACTTTTTCAGTTACTGAAAATGCCTAAATTTTATTGTCTCATTTCTTTAGCCAGACGAAAACTCGCTGGATTTCTCTTCTTGTATGCTGCGTCCAGGGATTAAAAATGCCCAAGATCTTGCCTGTGGAGTGTGCCTCTTAAACGTGGATTCAAGAAGTAAAGTAAGTATAATGGCCTCTACTGTTAAACTAATTTTTAAATTACAGTTTGGGCTTTCATTTAGGCCTTGGGTGTATTTAAAAAATTTTCATGGCTATAATTTATAACTGGAAGTGGCAAAGGCAAAATCTGACCTATAGATGGGACTCAGAAAATCAGTGTCCTGTATTCATTGGGCTTTGGGTATGACACAGATGTGGATAAAAGGTTGAGTTAAATTGTTCATAATGGGGAAGAAACTGGGATACTAAGACTTTAAAAGTATATATATATATATATGTAAAAATAAAAATATTCTAATGACTTTTCTTTATGAAATGCATCTCTGAGGATCACCAGGAGGGGACTATTGCGATTAGCAGAGCTGGGAGGGAATCCCAGGATATGTACAGAGTAATGCCAACCCATTAACATATATCGGCAGTTTTGCTGACTTTTTGGTTTCAACATTATTTCAGAAAGAAGAGAAACCTGTGGAAGAGCTTCCTAGAAAAGTATGAATCTGTAAAAAACATATTCTTTATAGAATCATTCTTAGTTGAGTGTGGAAAGCTGAACTGCTAACTGGCTTTCAGCTGTCATTCTCAATTGTACCAATCATTAATCCTTTTCTTCCAGTCATTTTCTGTGACCGTAACACTTGATCTGATCAACTAACATGCTCTAGAGCCTCCCCTTTGTCTTGTCTGCATGCTTGTATCTTGTGAATAGCTTTCTGGTTTTGTGCTACTTCTGTTGTGTGGTAGAAAATTCACTGCAGTGAGTTTCTGAATTTGCAGCTCCCTGTGTGTCTGTTGCAGAAGAGGGGGAACTGTAGGGGTTTTTTTGCTACAAATATTGACTTTTGGCTATATGTAGTAGGCAATGGCATTTTTAGAAATCTCTGCAGGAAATCCAGGGTGTGGGGAACAGGGTTAGAATATTTTTTTTAAATAGGTAGCTGTGAAGCATTGGAAAGTATCTCCTAGCAACAAACATCGAGATGTTTTAAGCTTGTCCGTGGCTTCACACGCTCTGTTCAGAAGCTCCTATTGTAAAGCAGATTCAATTAACAGAAGAAAGTACATCAAATTCAACCTGAAACAACACTAATATAAAGAATTGCACCTGCCTAAATCACAGCAAAATTTGACCCAGTGAAATAAATGCAGTAGTTATCTACTGACTGGCAGAACAAGCCTTTATCTTGCATGGATATGTAGCAGAAGATGCACAAAAGAAGGTGAGTTAGTTGCCAGGTGTCAGATCAGACAGCTTGCTAATCAGATGGCTCCCTTGATACAGGGTGTAACAGGCAAAGTATGCATCAGGTGTGATGGTTGGAGTTGGAGATTTTGTCCACCTGCAAACACTTTGCAGACTAAAATAAAATATTGTTCATTGGGTGCTCTGTTCAGAGTGAGAGGGTTCTGCCATGCCGTGCCATTCTGGGGTAATACCTGTGCAGTATCCATTTTACACTCTAGTTTCTAGAGCCTGGGGTAGATGAGACTGTCACACTTGTTTCAATTCTTGTTATTTTAGGCCTTTAATTCGGAAACGGATAACTTTAAGCTGGCCTACGGAGGGCACCAATACCATGCAAGCTGTGCAAATTTCTGGATCAACTGTGTGGAGCCAAAGCCTCCAGGTCTCATTTTGCCAGACCTGCTCTGAAAGCAGTTGCACTGAAGATGGAGTATCGGGTCTAATAATGCAGGGCACTTGGGGTAAATGGTGTGGTAGGGTAAGTGAAAGGGCTTGAGGTGTGGTTAGTGTTTGAAATGTTTCGGTTTGATTTTTGTACCATAACAGGTTAAAGCCACTGTTGCATACAAATTGCTTGTGAAGAATTTCACTTGAAATGGCCAGTGTTTCAGAAATAACCAGAAAAAAATGTAGTGTGGCAAAAAATGCGGCATTTCAGTCTTTCTCAAGATGAAAGCGGGCTAGTCTTTGTAACAAACCAATCTGCTAACCAAGTGCATAAATCTCTGAGAGAGGACAGTACCTAGCTTCCAAGAAAAACTGAAATGCTTACACTGATTTGCGTAGAAGTGACCACTTAAATACTTGAAGTACGTATTTGCAAACAAATCTTTTCTTTAATGTTTTTGGTATATGGACCATGATGTTTTTCTTTAAATATTTGCTACTATACTATTACAATGCATACAATGCACGAGTCACAGTAACTTTAAGGCAAAATGAATTATGGACTTAGAAGGAATGCGACTGTGGAGAGCCATTGTATATTTATACTTCCACTGTTCTGTATTGTAAATTATACTGTATTCCTATGCATAGGTGGTTAGTGCTGGGGGATAAGGACTTGGAAAAATTTTTTAAATTTTCCCTATCATATCTGGATTCTTTAATATAGGCAGCTGGATTTTAAAACTTGTAGTCTTGGCTACTCTGTTGTAAATATAGACAAACTCCTTCCTTGGACTTGTCCTGAACTACAGGTATGATTTGTTATGTTTCACCTGACCCTTTGGTAGTTGTGTGGCTGCATCACTGTTGAAAATTGGACTCCACTGATACAGCATGTCTGCTCCTCTCTCTCTCTATTACCTTTTTTGTACGTTAATGTGATTTTCGTGATGGGATGCCTGCGTGTTACTTGTGCAGTCTAGTGCTATCTGTAATAATGTGTTTCTCTGACTTAGACCTGGCAGCACGAGATGGCCCTTAGCTCCTGCCCCAGATGGGTGTGATTTAGCACTGGAAGTTGGTGGTCTTAAGCAGGCTATTTTTTGAAGCAGGGTATTGCACACCTGATGTTTTGTTGCTTATGGTAGGTACATCTATCTGGACAGAAGGAGGTCAGTATAAGAGACTATCACACAAAATGTTAACCCGTACATCTAAAGTACCTGATTCTCTCTTCAGATACAATATCCAGGCGACAGTGCAGTCAGCTGTAGTGCTATTTACAGAATTTTAAACCTAGTGGGAGCTTCATGGCATTATTATGAAGAGCCTTATCACTATACAGTCTTAGTGTGCAGTGAATGAAGTGGGGTGTATATCCCATCGGGTACAACTTGCTGCTTAATTCTTTGACTTAAGTTTCTCAGATCTCTAGAAAATCTCCCTTCTCTCCAAAGATATCAACAGCTTTTCCAAGCTAATCTTACCTCCATTATAAGTAGCTGACACTGACCAGTGGTTATTTGCTGAAACAGAAATTACAATGAGGAAAAATTATGCTTTGTGTTTAAAAAAAAAAGGCTTGGTTATACTAAACTATTAATTATACCACATGAAAGAATCTTGGCTAATAGGAGTGCTAGGTGTCTGGCCCCTTATTTACACGAATTAAAATAAATCTTGCTGCCTGAAATTAGCTCATTCATAAAATAAGCAACTTGTGCCTCCAGTCGCAAGCTCAAGCTAATCAAGTGGTAGGTTTTCCATAGTGTGACAGTGACTGCCTACCTTCTGTTGCCCAGTAATTATCAAGAAAAGGCCAGTCACTCATTGCTTGCTCTCTATTTCATTTATTAGGTGTGAAATAGTTACAGCAGTCAGCACCATAGCTTTTGACCACATAGGTTGTTTTCTGTCGTAATTAGGGGCTGCTGTATACATCGCCAGTGCAAGTATTCCCACTGATGTTTGGGGTCTACTCAGTGCAGTAAGCCAGTGCTCACTTTTGCATCCTGAATTACAGAAGCATTTAAGCGTTGTCTGACTTCAAGCGAATGCCTTGTCTTGCTGCTAGCAAGGGGACTTCTCAAGTGGTTTTGAGTATCTGGCTGATGCAAAGGCTTATGCTTATGAAATGCTAGATTGGGAAAAGGGAGTTTATTGTTAGCATGGGTTTCCACCACAGTTCCTGAACACTTAGCTAGATAGGATTTTTTTTTTCCTAATTAAAAGAGAATGCCACAAATAAAAGAGGCCACAATGTGAAACTTACAGCAGCCGGTATTTCAAATACAGTACCAGCTGCATTGTCATAAAAGCATTTTTCAGTGATGTTTTTCTTGTACTTGCTAAGCAAGTAAGTTCCCTGTCTAAGATGTATCCAGCGTGTCTTTTGGCCCACAAAAATAAGGAATTGACATTTACAATTATAATTGCAGCAGAGCTTGCTGAAGTATGACACTACTGCTTGCTTGCTCCCTACAGAAGGGAAAGCAGCAGGCAATAGTACTGCATTTGTGGCAAGCAGAAAGCGTTCTTCTGAACCGAACACCTTTACGTCATGGGAATACACCAAATGTTTTGCATGTAGATACCCTCGATAAAGGCGTTGCACAATGAGGATCATCTCACTTACATATCCTAGTCATTAAAATGACTCACTGTTGCATTCAGCATCTTCTCAGATATTATGTTGCCAGCCAAAGCCCAGTGTCCTTGCAATCTGTATCCAAGGTTACAGTATTTTCTACAGTGCATTGTGACAGACCATGTTCCCCTGCTTCCTTTGCATACAGGCTAATGGACACGCTGCCTTTCGCTTTGATTGTGTTGAATTTCATAAATGTAACTCCTTTTTCTGCATGTATCTTTCACTAGAAAAGAGAAACGGGATTTTCTTTTTTTTTTTTTTAAATGTATGTGTTCTCTGGAGCTGCCTTGGGATTACCTATGGAAAGTGATTTTTCTATATATTTGTGTATACTTGGAATTCTAAGAGATTGTTCGCTTGGTTATTTAATGTATATATCGCTTTACCCAGTTGTATTCCTGATGCTTCTGTGCTATCTTCGTGTGTTGCAGTTTTTCCTTGGTGGCAGGAGTGCTGGGGAGCGAACAGACCGCTCCAGCCTATTCCCCTGCCCATCCGTTGCCGTGTTTTGGTTTGAGTATCTCCCCAAGCTTGCTGACCCGTGTTGGCTGTAGCCGCTTGGAGGTTATTTGTGGCGTGGGAATTGTTAACGTTCTGCACTTGACCGTTCTGCTGACTTCCCCTCCCTGGCAGCAGCTTCTCTTCACCTGGGTTTGTTTTGAGCAGCTCCTTCCTTGAAATTTGTGCAGTTTACGTGAAGTGATAGTGAAGTTCAGCCTAAGGTTGAGAAGAAGCTTGTGAAAACCCAAGGAATGCTCCGATTTCTAGTTAGTTACATGTTGGATTAATTAAACTTGAAACAAAACCTGCCTTTTCAATAAAAGCTGCTATTGTACAAACTACTTTTTCTGAAAGATTTTTTTTTTTTCCTTTCTCTCTGGATCTGTATTTAATTCCAGTTCTGAATATTAAAATATAAATGTCATAATTTTATGAAGAAAAGTGGTCAGAAAACTTCTCTTTGTATTGTGATTCTTTATTCTGCCCTCTGGGCGAATGTTATTTCATTTCTAGAAGTGGTTTTGCGATTAGTAGTTGGAACTGTTTTGGTTTGTGCTATGCTGGAGTCACTGCTGATATTTTAAATCCAATGAGAATAAGTGTTATTAATGGACTTTAGTACACTGTTTACTCCCCTAATTCTTGCAATGATTTATAAATCCTTTGTTGAGATTCAAACCTTGTATTCAATAAAGAGCTCATTTCATATCTGACCAACCTGTGAAGTGGCTTGTTCCAGGAAGCAGCTAGAAAAAAATGCTTTTGCTGCTTGCTGGTACCCGAAGGTTGTCATCTCTGGTACGAGCTCCGCAGGCGCTGGCCTGGGGGGGCTCCTCCTCAGAAATACAGGGGCAGGGTGACATCTTCCTTCCCGTGGCTCGGGAGAAGCCTTGAAAGGTTGACAAAAAGGGCCTTAAACGTAATGAAGCTGTGTAAGTGAAACCACCTTTGTGGCTAGTATTTGAAAGATGTCTCACCAAATAACTTATAAAATATTCTTCAAGCAATTAAGATATCGACCATTTGGAAGAGCCTGTAGGGAGCAGGAAGAATGATCTTCCCCTCAAATCCAGCTGGTGTGCTTACAGCAATCCAGAGTTAAACTGTGGCTCGCCCTCTTCTTTGGTTTCTATAGATTTGAGGATGCATTAAAAACTGGGTTTTGAGGGGGGGGGGAAACACTCACGTAAAACATCTTTTGTTGGAATGAACACAAGAGGAATTTTGCAAAGAAATACCTACAAGTATTAATACCATTGCACTTATCCATAATATTATCTCTAATGGGTATTTCAGGTGAATTCTTTATTTCCTAATGTGCTTTATTAGGCAATTACATTTTTTATAGGTCTAACTTTCCCTTTTGTTTAAAAGTCAGTCTTGATGCTTTCTTGGCTGAACATTAGTATCTTCCCCCTCCCCTCGGTACTAGGGCAGTGCGTGTATAAAGTCTATATAATAATTCAAAGTGGAGAATCTTTACCTTCCAGTTTTTATATAGAAAATGCTGTTAAATTATACATAGCCCATTTTTTAGGTAAAGTTTAATTTTGCTAGCAGATTTCAGGTTTTAGTATTTTTTTCCCTTTGAAATGTCATGCTTTCAGAATGTCTCCAGCCTAATGATTAGTCTTGATTTTTAATCTCTAGTTCCTTTTCTTACTTGCCATTTCCCTGGTTGCCATTTAACTCATGATAAAAATAGAGAGATGAGTAGAATGGATTTTTTTTAAATGGACAGTCAGTCTCTTATGTCTGTTTGTTTGTCACTGAAACCGGGACACAACCATGAAACCTGAACTGCGCACAGCTGATGGCAAAATTCATTTTTATTTCAGTGGGCCAAAACTTTGTTCTTGCTCATCTGCAAAAGCAGGAGGAGACCTCGCTCCGCCAGTGCAGGGCTGCGCTTTGTACTGGCGATACTGAAGAACACTGAGATCCATGCGTTGATATTGTTGGAAAAACTGGTGTTGAAGTATTTGGGGTTTTCTATGTGCGGTTTTGTCTTAAGTGCATCCTGGATAACAGATGAAGGAAGGGTTTGCAGGGGGAATGGGGGCAATATATACGTGCGTGCAGGAAACTTTTGGGCTTTGGATGCCCTTGCAATGTTGAGGAATTTGCAGTAACTCTTTTCATAGCGGTGTCTCTGTGCGCAGGTTTGGCATTAATGAAGCTATGGCCAACCTCGTGACTTCCATGCCCGCAGGGGTTGAGAGAGCTCTCTTGTGCCTGCGTGCCACTAAGCCCCCCCAGTAAGTGGCCTTGGGCCTAATTTGGAGTCTGTGAACTCCTACAGCAGTCCTCGCTGACCTTGTGGACCTCTAACTGGAGCCTGGAAATTACAGAGCACCGTTTCCTTCCCCTGGTGAGTATAAGCAAGTGGCATTTGCCCAGTCTGGTAAAACTCCTGTCTCTGCAGTAAATTTGAAATTTCTGGGTCAGAGCTGGTCAAAGCCTCTGTATCAAATTCACTCTGATCTAGACTTTTATTCCAACCAGGTCTGGTTTTACTCATGATCCACATGAGGTTGAGGCCATTTGTGCAGTTTTGTATCAGCGATAACAGTATTTCAGCCCTTGTGGCTTTTAGTGTGGGGAAACCAGAAACCTACTTGTGCTGCAATCCTCACCCAGTGTGGTTCAGCTTGGAGAAAAACTTTAACCATGTCTACTGTTCCTTAAAACCTCAGCTGTTCAGCTAGGATTTCAGAAGATAAAAATTTTGAAATAGCCGAATTAAATGCCTGGCTTTTGTGATGAGGACCAGGAATTGCAGGACACCTGGATGGATTGTAACCTGATTAGCCAAGTGATGGGAACAGATCACAGTATTTTTCTCGAGACTGAGGTACAGATTTGTTTAAAGCCACTGCTCAGTATTACACCATGTTCTCACAGTTACTTGAGATACATTAGCACAGTCCTGAATAGGAAACCAACACATGTTCTTGTTTAATCTTTATTGATTTTTTTTTTTTTTTACAAGTATAGAATCTCATTTAAATCAGATAGCTATCTCGGCATCCAGCAATCTGCGTATTCCTCCTTCAGAGATGCAACAGAGGACACAAATGTCTCATCGAGGAACGGACTTGCCTTGCTGTCCTGGTGGTCCAGTTACGCTTCAACGAAACCAGTCCCTTCCCATCTGCAGGGAGAGGAGCGACGTCCAGGAGGCAGTGGCTACGCCATAGAAAGGCTTCTCCCACGTCTCCGGTTGGAATCGTTCTTGTCACACACAGAACAAGGCAAAGCCTTCTCCGTTAAAGCCATCCTTGTCCGGGAGGTTGAACAGATCGCCATTTTGCGCAGAATAATTCTAGAATGCAGCATAACCTTAAGGACATAATGAAGTGATTTAGAAATGGGCTAAGGCAGATCACGACCATACTTAGAGCTAAGTAATCAAGCGGATTTACCTACTTCCAATTTACTGGTTGATTGAATATTAGAAAACACAGCCCAGCCCCTTTGGCAGGTGGCCATGCACACACAAGTTTCCTAAACATGTCTTTGGCTGTCCAGTGCGGGGAGGGTTAACCTCTCGCTTCGGTCTTGAGCCACATTTGGACAAGATCTCTGTTTGCTTTCCACCCACAAAAAACACCAGCATTTTTCAGTAGTGTGTGTTCCAGGACTATTGCCCTGGCATGGAATGAGCGAAAAAGGATCTTGTATTTATTTTATTTGAATTATTCAAATTTTATTTTACTTGTGGCCGACACGGACTGACTTCACTTTTTTTTTTTTTTTTTTTAAACTTTTAATACAGATTAAGAGCTGACTAAAGATCTCAAACACTATATACTGAGAGTCACTACGGATGTTAAAGAAAACACCAGCACTAGCACCACAACCCTGCACGCCTGCCTTCCTGGCTCTTGAAAAACCCAGGGCCGTACAGTAGGACCTCGCTCGTTCTGTGCTAGTGCCGCTCCCTAGCCACTACAGGATTTTGCAAGGAAGCAAACAAGCTATTAACGAAATATCCAGGCTACCGCATCACAAAGCGCACTTTGTTCATTAACTCTGCCAAATGCCTTTTAGGCCTTTCCTCATAGGATACTAATAAACTGACTAAAAAAGGGAGGGAGGCTTTATGAAGGGAAGAAACTTATAAGGAGACCTCATTCTGCTAAATCAGAGAAATGCGGATGGGGGAATCCCTGTAGAGAGAAATGCTTTGAAGGGAATCGTTGGCCTTGCAGGTTAGTGAGGTGAGAATTAGTTGAGGTTCTGCTGTATGGTAAAGAACCAAAGTTGGCTGTAGAAGGAGAAGGGAATGTCTCCAGTCTGGCCGACTCAGAACAGCTCGTCCCTTCTGTTGTGCTTCCTGTCTGCAGTCACATTAAATTCCCCAGTAAGGCATCAGGGGTCTCCTCTCTCTCTCATAAACGTCTGGGATGATGCCATATGGTGTCTGTACCATTTTAACCGTCGTCTTCCCAAAGAGCTTCCTCTCGTAGTCTATCAGTTGCCTCCAGAAGCCCACGTTGGGGCGTATAACGGGGCGTCTCGATTTGACCCAGTTGTATGCCTCAAAGAGGGACACCTTATGGTACTTCATCAGGTAGGCGATGCAGAGGGTGGCCGACCTGCTCACGCCGGCGGCACAATGGACTAAGGTGGCCCCGTGCTTCCGCGCCACGCTGTTTATCTTGTCGGCGACGCTGTCGAAGTACAGGGAGATGGGGGCGTTGGGCATGTCAGCCAAAGGCACTTTCACGTATTCAAACTGGGGCCAGTTAAAATTGGGAATCTCGATGGTCGCATTGATGATGCAGGTGATTCCCCGGGAGAGGAGCAGGTGCCGGTTGGAGGCGACGCTGCCCCGGCTCAGGTACAGCGAGGGGGTGATTTGGGCGATGCCCCCAAGGGCACCTTCGGAAAGCATTCGTGGAGCCATCAGAGTTCTCGGTAAGGAGTTGTGGCTTCTGGAGGTCATGGAGGATCTTGGCACTCACGCTTCCATTATGGGAAGAGATCCAACGGGATCTTCAGCCAAGGGAAGGATTGTCTGGCCCGGTGGTGCTAGGACAGCAAGAGCTTCCTCCACTTAGTCACTGCAAAACACAAGCAACTCCACATGAGCGGGGCAGCTGTCCGATGAGACTGTGTCTATGCAAGAGAACAGGAAAACCCAACTCGCCCTGCTGTGGCCTGGACAACCTCCTACCGGCAAACCTCCGTGGGGTAAGGTGGTTCTGGGTTTGCACAGTGCTTATTACCACGGGGCCCCTAGGCATTGCCCGGACAGATATTAAGCAAAAAAAAATCTTCCAGCCTAATTAGCTCCAATTACTTGTCGAGGGTTTAGGCAGCCTACCTGTGGGCCCGGACAGCATTTCACTGGGATTAGCACGTGGAAGATTAGCTACGCCTCTCCCATGCTCAAAAACAGCAACTTCACAACTGGCCAGAGTCCAAAGGGATGGTGAGAAACAGCTCGCTCGGGCTGGATGCAGATGCCAGCAATTTAGATTACCCTGCCCTCTCCCCAATGCCACCCTTCTCCTTTTTTAGGTATATGAAAGGCCCTGCCAAAGTACATCAACAGAGGAAGGTTGCTCATTAGAAAAGGCAGTGAGTCATGTCCATCCAGATCAGTCATCGGCTCTCATCTAGGCAGGGGAAGTGTGGAAAGAGTGACCTGGTTATGTCAGAAGCTGGGAGTAAAACCGAAGCAGAGGCTGGGACAAGGGAGGCTCTTTTCCTGCTGCTTTAATGACTGACTAATGCTTTGGAGAATGACACGCTCTGCGAAGGCTTGGCTTCGCCTGCGTGAACCACGCATCCCCGGCTGCCTCCGCTGTGGCTCCCGGGAAGGACCCCTGCTTTTATTCCCCCTACTTCTTTAGGACTTCTCTGAAGCCAGTGGAGAAGCTGCAAGCAAGAGGATGAGCCCCAGCACATTAATAATTTGCCAGTCCCTTTTAGCTGTGCGTTCTCCAGCTAGAGACGGGCCGCGGGAGAGGCTCCGGTCTGCGCGGGGTGGGGACTCCCTGCTCTGCCCAGGTACGTCTGGGCCCACCAAAGTGTCACTGGGCACCGCGGGAAGGGGATCTGGGGGATGCTCAGTGCCTTGGGTGAGAGGGTGTCTGTCCCTCCAGCAGTTAACTCTCCCGGCCAGAGAGTCCTCAAAGGGCTGAGAGACCCCGACTGTGGCTTCCCTGGCCCTGACTCGACAGTGCAGCCATCTGCATCCCGCGCTCCGGGAAACACCGGCAGGTCTCAGCAGTGGCTGGTAATGCTGGCAGCGGATTTTTGGCATGGCTTTGCGGTATGGTAACTTAATGAGCATAACACAGTCTCCTCTGTGGCTTGTTCCCTGCTGGCAGCTACTTGAGCAGCTCCTGAAACCAGGGGCCCAAAGTGCTGGTGCTGCAAGAGTTCATGCCCCAACAAGATTCTTGCTGCAGCTGTGAGTGCTCGGCTTCCCCTGCGGACACCCCCACTGCAGTCACCCAGCTGGAGCAGCAATGAAAGGCATGGTTTTTTCAAAGGAATAAAGTCCTTTGAGCAGGGGAAATCCCTGCTCTCCAATACCCGTTACTGACAATGCAAAGGATTCAGGCACTTACGCTCAGTAACAAACTGTCCTCCTCCAAATCACCGACCGGCACACGGATGCTGTGGGCTGCCAAAGCTGGGATGTCTCATAGAGCGTGTCCAACACTGAGCTGGGGAGAGAAGAGAGCATGGGCTTTACTGGGATCTGTGCTGGACCCAAACAGGACACCAGGCAGCCTCCTCCACTGAGGTACATTTAAGCCACTCAATTTAGGTGGTTGTCCAAGAACTGAGAGGGAGGACTACGGCTTCCCTGCCCGCTCCCCTGGGAGAGAAAGAGGCCTTGGGAAGGCACTTGCTGCCGACAGCGTAATGCCACCAATTGCTGCCAACACAGCATTCAAAATCAGGGTAGGCCCAGAGGAATCTGAGGCTGGCACAAAAGTCATGACTCAAAAAAAAAAAATTAAATAGTTTTAAGTAATTAATTTGCTCTAACGTCTCCTTTAGCATCCGCCAAGACGCTCGCCTAGTCCCAGACAGCTGGTGCAGGTCTGCGTTTCTTCCGACGGTGCCTAAAGCACACTCCTGGGAGCCTTTCTGCCAGGGCTCTGCTACCTGGTCCTGTTCCCCGAGGCACTGCTGGAATTACAGGGGCAAACGAGAAGGGGCAGAGCTGGTGCCGTGAGCCACAGCATCCCGCTCCTGGAAAGTGGAGGACAGGGACAGCATTCCTTTCTTTTATTTCTCCAACCGGACTAGAAATAAGACAAGTCACCAGAGTGAAGCAGCTGCCTGTTGGGAAACGCTGCCGGACGATGGGAGAGGGACAGTAATGTCTGCCCCCCCCCAAAATGGCTCTGAGCAAGGCAGACCCTCCCTGCTTTCCCGCAGCTCATCCGTTGGCCATTTCCAGCACAGCGGGGCTGACAGCGAGGGGCTGGTGGCTGCTCCGTGCCCCCTCCCCAGGGCAGGGGAATGTGGAGGGAGAGCCGGGGGAAAGGACTCGCTTTCCCCCGCGCGTGGCTTTACCACGACGAAGGAACCGCTCGCTGAGCTCCGGAGGGGGACTGAGGCGGAAAGGGGCTGGCTTGGCTTTGGAGATGGGCGTCAGAGAAGGGAGGGCTGCCGTGGCCGGTGGGTCTCGGTGCTTTGGTCGGGCTGTGTGGCACGACGGCTGGCCCGGAAGGCTTCGCACGGAGAGGCCGGTTCTGGCACGGCAACGGCACAGGGCTGCCGGGAGGCAGGGCGGGCTGGGAGGCTCTGGCAGGCATTGGGGAGTTGAGACAAGTCGGCCGGAGGCCAAACGACAAACCCAAACGGGATTTTTTTTTTTTTTTTTTTAAATGCCGCGCCGCCCTTGAAGATGGCTGGGAAATGTTAGCGGAGGGCGATCCGCAAACGCGCGGTGGGAGAGGCCGAGGGGTGCTGCTGCCGCACCTCTTGGGAGCAGGGCAGCAGCGTCCCGGCTTCGATCCCGCAGACCGGGGCACCCACATCTCTGCCCCCGCGGGGGCCCGAGGGGCTGCTTGGGGTCGAGCACGCTCGCCTGCCCCACGTCAATGCTTGCCGCACCTGGGATCCAGCTGCTCCCCGGCGGGGGGACTCGGAGCGCTCCTCGGGGCGGTTTGGGAAGGGCTTTGCTGCTTTCCATAAAGTGGTTCCTCTTTGCAGGCAGCAACTTATCTGGATGTTTGCATGTGACAGGCTGGGCTCGCTCTGCAAACTCCGAGGCCGGCGGGCTGGCAGCAAGCTGCCTGCGTGCAGCCTGCTCCCGAGCAGCCACCCGAGACGGCATCGCATGGCGGCCGAGACGGACGGTCAGTCTGACGGGATGCGCTGGTCCCCCGGGAAGAGGGGAGCCGCTCAAGGAAGGCGCCTGCCTGTCCCACCTCTGCCTGCTGTCCACAGCAGTTGGGGAACGGGGTGGATTTTGGGGCCAGCTGGGAACGCAGGTGGGTGCCCACAGTCCCGTGTCCCAGTTTACACACCACTTCTCTGGGGCTCCAAATGGCTGACACCCAGCAGCACCGCCTCTGCTCAAACCAGAACGGCTCTCCTCCAGAAGGAGTTAATGTTTTGGAGATGAATTCTTTATATAAGTGAGAGATAAGGCTGCTGTGCTCGTCAGACCAAACGCCCGGTAGCCGAGGATGCTGCCCAGCCGGCTGGGGCAGGAGCAGATGCTGGGGGGGGGGAAGCCACCAAGGGAGAGGGGCAGATGCCAGCATCCCTTCCCGCGTTCCACGGCTCTCGCAGCAGGAGCTGGCTGGGATGCCACCGACTGCGACATGCTGTCTCAGGCATGTGACAAAGCCACGGTCCTCCTGCCCACACATACCAGGCTGAGCAGCTGCCGGCTTGCAGGGAGCCTGAAAATGAAAGGGGCCTCGTCTGCCTCGGATGGCAGAGGCTGCGTGCTGGCTGCGGTGCCTTTGGCTGACGATTAGGAGCTACCACCAGGCTTGCAGGTGTGAGTCCTTATCTGTCCTGATAGCTGCACCTTCTCCTAACCCTCCTGCCTGGCCCCAGCCAGCTTCAGACAAAGGCTCGCCTAAAGTCTGCTGTTTCGCTCCCGTGAAACTCCATTTGCCTTTCTCAACGCGCCCGCTTTATCCTGCCGCGTCCCTGCTGTAATCCAACACTGTTGCTCTTCATGCGGTAGTTCCTGTCATTGTGCTGGGGCACAGAGAGAGAGGAAAAGAGTGAAAAGCCTCTTCCCAGACATTGCTGCGTGCGAAAAAAAAAAAAAAAAAAGAGAAAAATAGCTGAAGATCGAATGAGGTGCACACACAGCCCAGCCCTGGCTGTGCCACCTGCAAAGGACAGTGGCAGAACAGGCCAGCACAGCAGCAAACAGGCTCCTTGCACGGGCACAGGGAGAGGTGCTGGCTGTGGGTCCAGCCATGCCTCATTCAGCCTCTGCGCAGAGACTGGGAGAGCTGCACTGATACAGCCAGTTTGCACCATCTCATGCAGAAAAAAAGAAAAACCAAACCAAAAAAACCCCACCACATCTCCTCCCATTTCTTCTTGGTTTGTGTTTCTGAGCGGTTGCGTAGGCTGGGGTGGTCACACAAGCCTGAAGTCAGCGTCCTCGGGGTGCTGGAGCCTGTCTCGGGTGGCTCGTCGCCACGCGTCACCCTGCGAAGGGGCCGTGGGCGCTCAGCAGCACGCTGCGAGATGGTGCTGGGAGGTGGCGTGGGCTCTTACACCGAAGGGTCGGAGCCGGGGCTGTCTCTAAAGGAGCGGCTGAAAGGCGCCTTCCAAAGGAGACGGGATGTGGTTGTGGTTTCCTGCAAAGGGCTGAAATTCCCAGAGGGTGCAGCGTGGTCCTTCAGGCAAAAACCAGCTGGTGGTGGGCCAGTAGCAACCAGGTATTCCTGCCATCACGTCCTCGTTTGCTGAGCTGACTCCAATTAATGGATTAATTAGTCTTGTAACAGCCCTGACCCACAGCAAATCCCTTTCTAGACTCTCCCTTGGTCTTCCCCGTGCAAAAAGACCAGCTCCCACTATATGCTCACCCCGCTGGGCTGCTGGGGAGGGCTGGCACCCCCCGGGGTGGCAGGGGGTCCCTGGCCCTAGTGACACAGGGGCAGGACCAGCACAGCCTCCTCCCTCCTGGCAGATTGGTGGGTTCTGCCATTTCTCTAATCTGCATAATCAGGGGTGGGGGAAGCAAGTGGGTAATTACAGCCTGGAGATGACTCTGGTCTTCAAAGCCTCCAGGTCCTCTCCACACAGCTCCTGGCCCAGCACTGTCCTTGGGTGCAGGTTTATGGAAAGGGGACGCTTCTCCAGCACCCACCTGCGACTGGGACCTCATCCTGCATCCGCTGGCTCTCCGCAGACCCACCACTCAGTTAAGTCTGGCTGGCTCGTATCGGGCACTGCACTTGTCTCTGCTGTACCTCGAGGCTAAGCTGCGTGGTTCACCTGCGGTCGGGTCTGCTGGGAGAAGGGGCAGGCGCTTTGCCCGTGGTAGCTGCTCCCGTGGAAGGCGGGTGGTGTGTGCCTTTGTGGGGTTGACCAGTTTGACACCGGGTCGTATCCCAACTGGGCTGGATTTCCTGGCTTCAGAGCGGCTTCTCTCCAGGCAAGGGGGCTTCAAAAGCAATACAACAATACTGACCTAATGGTTTGCATAGTGGGTGGTCCGGTCCCTTGGAAAGGTTGTTGCTGGCAATGCTTATGGCTCCGTTCTTCAAAATCCTGTGATAGCTGGAGTTTGTTTCTCTTGCTTTCGTTCCTGGGAACGCAGTCCTACTAACAAAGGCTGAAATTCCTACAGGAAAACATTCCTGCTTCCTGGACCTCCTGAGAAAGGCTTGAAAACACCTCTGAAAGCTCAGAAGACAGAGGCAAAGTGGCAGATACTAGTTAAATACACTGCGATCTCTAGGACAGGAGGAGAGAGCCTTGCTTGTTGGTCTCTAGACCATGAGGTGGCAAGTCTGAGCTTCTGGTTTCTTACTCTGGTGCTGCTAGGTGGTTTTCTCTGATTTTGGGGTTTGTTTTTTTTTTTTTATTTTGGGGGGTTTTTTTAAGGGCTCCTCTGGCTTGAGAGCAGAGGCTGTGACTTGTTCCTGAGGGACTTGAGTCCCTTGCAGTTGGTGTTGGACTGTATGTCAGTAACATGGCAATGTAGCTGGTACCTGGCAGAGGTGAGAGCATCTCCCAGGCCCTTTTTCCCCTGGACCAGGTGAAATTCTGCAGATGTGCGACTCGGTAGCCAGCTCACTGGGTGGGAAGGGATGGCTGGTCCTGCTCCCAGCTTTGCTGCTGCTTGCTGGGTACTCCTGGCCTTCTGGCAGCCGTTCTGCTCCTCTTGCCCTAACACTGCTGGGACGGCTGTGGCTGAGCAGGGTGGTCCTCGGAGGGGTGCAGAGCACATGGCCCGAGAGGTATTCGGCAAGTTTTGTGTGTGGGGAGGACCAGGTGAGTCGCAGGTCCTGCTCTGCTGATGGAGCAAAGACACCAAAGCCCCTCGTTTTATCCCCAGATCAACATCTGGGATTCGAAGCAGGTTTGTGGGCTGGGTGTGTGAAATGTCAGTACTGAAGCAAGCCTTCTCCCCCTTCCCAGGAGAGGAAAAGTTATTCATTTTAGAGATGACAAATGCTCTCTAATGCTGCAGTAAAGAGAAGAGTCAATACTGCAGGCGCT